TTATTTTGCACAATTCTTTTTCTCTCTTTTGTTCAACTTGATTACATTCCATTACTGTGTTTTCTAGGTCACTAATTTGTTCTACTGCTTCTTCCAAACTGCTGTTCATTGCATCAAGTTTGTTTCTGATCTTGCTTATTGTACTCTTCATCTCTGATTGGTTCTTTTTTATCTCTGTGTTAAGGGTCTTACTGATGTCTTCCACTCTTTTCTCAAGTCCAGTGAGTATATTTTTATGATTATTGCTTGAAATACTCCATCAGGCATGTTACTTATATCTCTTTCGCTTAGCTCTCCAGCCATGGCCTTGTCCTGTTCTTTCATTTGGGTCAAATGTCTCTGTCTTCTTATTTTGTTTAAGTCTCTGTGTCTGTTTCTTTGTGTTAGAAAAGTCAGCTACGTCCCCTGTTCCTGAGGGTAATGGCCTTATGAAGAAGAGGTCCTCTAGTGCCTACCGTGTAGTGTCCCCTGTTCTCCAGGGCCTGGAGCTTCTGGGAGTGTCTCCAATGTGTGTTGCATATGCTCTGTTTTATCCCAGCCACTTTATCCTTTAGGCCCATTGTCTGCAGAGGCTGTCTTTGCTTGCTGTGGGCAGTATTTGGTCCCTGGCCTGACTGTGGTGCATTTTAACTAGATGTGCTCTGGTCTGCTTTTGAAATGAGACCTGTTGCCATCACTGTCAGAACCAAGGCTCCGCAAAAACCCCAGATTGAGAGATATGGTGGTGGCAGGGTTTTGAGCCAGACTTTTTGGAGAGAGGGGCCCACCATGCTGGGACTGAGGCGAGTGTGACCAGGAAGGGTGGTTCTCCTGGAGCATGGGGTGGAGGAGGTGGTAGGACTTGGTGTAAGCATGCTAAGTAGTGAGTGTTGGCACTGCACTGCCTCCCATAGGTAGTCCTGTGCTTTTGCTGAGGAGTGGGGGATGGAAATCGCACCTTCCAGTTCCTTTGTTCCTGGAGGGGCTCTCTCTCTGAATGCTGCCTCTCTGGAATGTCCTCTAAGATGAACAAATAACCTCCCCACCTTGTGACCCAGAATGTTCTTGAGGTCACTGTTTCCATGCTATATGTCTGCAGGCTGTTTGCCCTGACTTCTCTCCAACAGTGGCTCCAATCAATGTCTTCAGGCTCTATCTGAGCCAAGCCCACTCACCTTTACAACTCCAGGCTTTAAGCCCTGCTGGTTGCAAGAACTCCCGAAATCCAGCCCCTCTCACTTTCCAAGCCACTTATTGTGGGAACTAGTTTTCCCCATGCACTCCCCTGTGTGCTAGTCTGTCTCTCACCCTTCTCTGCCACCACAGCTACCTTCCAACTGCAGCGGCTGATCTGTTTCTCTCCCAAACCATGTCTCTGCACATCGCATCTTCATTGATGTGGCCTCTTCTCTACCGTTAGTTGTGAAGTTTGTTCTGCTAGTCTTAAGATTGATTTCTGGGGTATGTAGGATGATTTGAGAGTTATTTAGTTGTATTTGTGGGATGAGATGAGCCTCGGGTCCTCCTGCTCTGCCTCCGTCTTCCCCTCCTGCATGATATATTGTTCCGCATCCTTTTACTTTTAATCTATTTGTGTCTCTTGTAGATAGCATATAGTGGAATCATTTTTTGAAATCCATTTTTCCAGGTTATGCCTTTTATTGGCATGTTTAAGCCATTTACATTTAATGTAATGGATAAAGCAAGATTCATATCTGCCATTTTGCTATTTGTTTTCTATACGTTTTATGTGGTTTTTGTTCATGTAGTTCTCCATTAGTGCCTCCTGTTATGATAAATAGATATTTCTACTGTACCATTTTAATTTCCTTGTTTCTTTTACTGTATGTACTTTTTAGTTACTTTCTTAGTGGCTGCCCTGTGGTTTAATAAAAAACAATGTAGTTTGGATTAATACCAACTTAGTTTCAATAGTACATTAAAAACATTGCTCCTCCCTTTCTTCCCTCCTTTTTTGCTATTATTGTCATATGTATTACATGTTTAAACATTATAAGCCCATCAACAGTTTTTAAAGTATTGCTTTATGCACTTGTTTTGTAACTCAGAATTAAAAAGGGGTACAAACAAAATATAGTGTCTTGTATATTTACCTATGTAGTTATCTTTATTAGTATTCTTTATTTCTTCATGTGGATTTGAGTTGCTGTCTCTTGTCCTCTTATTTCAGCTTGAAGGACTCCTTTTAGCATTTCTTGTAGGGCGGGTTGCTAGCAAAAATTCTGCTTTAAAGGGGGTTGGGGGGATGGGTTAGTCCAGTGATGGATATTAAGGAGGGCACATACTACATGGAGTACTGGGTGTTATACACAAACAATGAATCATGGAACACTACATCAAAAACTAATGATGTACTGTATGGTGACCAACATAACGTAATAATAATTTTAAAAATCTGCTTTGGGGCACCTGGGTGGCTCAGTCGGTTAAGCGTCTCCCTTTGGCTCAGGTTGTGATCTGGGATCAAGCCCCACATGGGGCTCCCTGCTCAGCTGGGAGCCTGCTTCTCCCTCTCCCACTCCCCCTGCTGTGTTCCCTCTCTCACTGTGTCTCTCTGTCAAATAAATAAATAAAATCTTTTTAAAAAAATTCTGCTTTAATTTATTTGAGAATGTATTTATTTCTCCTTCATTATTTGAAACATAGCTTTGCTAGATACAAGATCCTTGACTGACAGTCTTTCTTTTCTTTCAGCACATTGAATGTGTCATTCAACCACCTTCGGCCATGGTTTCTAACTAGAAACCATCTGTTAGTCTTCTAAGGGTTCCTGTACTTGATGAGTGGTTTTCTCTTGCTGACTTTAAGATTTTCTCATTGTCTTTCAGCAGTTTGATTATGATGTGTCTAGGTGTGGCTCTTTTGAATTTATACTGCTTGGACTTTGTTGAGCTTCTTGCATATGTACATTAATGTTTTCATCAAGTTTAGGAAGTTTTTAGCCATTATTTCTTCAACGATTCTATCTCTTTATTGCTATTCTTTGGTGAGGCATCATTTTCTCCTGTGTCCCTTTAATTATTTAGATATGGTTTCCTTTAGTTCTTTGAATATTTAATAGTTGATTTAATTTAACTTTTATTAAAGTTAATTACTAACACTAATTATTGTTAATTAACATCTGGCATCCTCAGGGATGGTTTCCATTGACTGCTTTTGTTCTCTACATGGGCCATACTTTGTTTCTTATAGTTTTTTGTTGACAACTGGATATTTTACATGAAATATGTAAATATTTCGTATGTAAATGTATATGTGGTAAGATATATGAACATCTTATTACCCAGATCTTCCTTTTAAGAACCTCTTGTTTGTCCTAACTTTTATCATTGCCTCAGCTCGCCATAATTTTAAATTGCTGTGGACTGTTTTCAGCAAATACCCTGAGAGAGCTGAGTCAGGTCAAACAAGAATAAGCTCTGTGAATGGAATTTTTCCAGAGAGCTGCCCAACATGTCAAATAGTGACAGTTCTCTGGGAGTGTGGCTTCTTGTGGAACTCCAAACTTGGGTCTGCTCTTGCTATGGCAGTAAGGCTGCTGATTTTCAAGATTAATGCTGAGCTAGGGAAAGAAGAATGAGAATAGAAGAAGTGAAAATAATAAAACTAGGGGGTGCCTGGGTGGCTTAGTCAAGTGTCTCCCTTCGGCTCAGGTCATGATCTGAGGGTCTTGGGATTGAGCCCCATGTTGGACTTCCTGCTCAGTGAGGAGTCTGCCTCTCTCTCTCTCTGTCCCTCTGCTCTTTTCCCTGCTTGTGCTTGCCCTTGCACACACTCTCTCTCTCAAATGAATAAATAATATCTTTAAAAAAAAAGCTGTTTTTAATGAGGTTCAGCCACTTTTCCTGAATAGGTCTTTCTCGATTGTTGTGAGCCTTATTATAATTTCTAGAATTCTGAAAAAGTCAGTTTTTAACAACTATTGCCAGTATACTTGTTGCATTTATAGAGGAGCAGAATTCCAGAGGTCCTTAGTCAACCATTCTAGAAGTGTAAGTCTCCTATATGTGCTTTTAAACCGAGTTGCTATGTCATGGGTGATGTTTTATTATGGACTGAGAACTGATTAAGACAGGAAGACAAGGAATAAGAATGACCGAATAATTATCTTAATGAAGAATGGTGGTAATAAGTCAGAAATGTGCCAGATACATCAAGAATGGTATTAGAATAAAAATTATATGTTGTATTTCAGATTTGGTCCCATTCCTCCTGTTCTGTTTGCTAAGAATATCTAGAAGAGCCTGGGGTGCCTGGGTGGCTCAGTAGGTTGTCTGTCTTGGGGGGCTGGGTCATGATCCCCGGGTCCTGGGACTGAGCCCCACGTCAGGCTACTGAGCTCCCTGCTCAGTGGGGAGCCTGCTTCTCCATCTCCCTTTGCCTGCTGCTCCCCCTGCTTGTGCTCTCTCTCTCTCTCTGTCAAATGAATAAATAAAATCTGGAGGAAAAAAACATATTTAGAAGAGCCTTATAAAGCATACCTAAGATGATTAAGGAGAAAAAGGGACTCATACACAAGGACAGATTAAAATAATTCTAGAAGGAAAGACTGAGAGGACTCAATCCAAAATTCATGAAATTACAAAGAATATGCATTTAGGATATCAATTTTTGGACTTAATTATAGAATAATAGACAAACCTGAAAGTTTGATGAAGGCTAATATAAAATAATAAGAGGAAATAACATTTTAAAAACATATTTTTAGAATTTCTCCCAAGAAATGGGTGAGGCACAACACCTGAAAGTGTAATTAAATTTTTGGATTATAGATCTATGAATGGTTTTTAAATTTTTAGTATTTCTTGGGGATACATCAAAGAGACTCTGGAAGCATTTATAGTCTTTTTCTGAAACATTCTTTGGTGCACCATCTGGGACTAAATGATGTACTAGATGGATACTGATCTAATTCAGTGTAGCATTTACATTTTTAAGATGATTAGTATTATATACTTATAATTATTCATGTAAAAGTGTTTTGTGTCTTTTTCTTTTAGGTATGTAAAAGAAGGAGATACAGTGTCTCAGTTTGATAGCATCTGTGAAGTTCAAAGTGATAAAGCTTCTGTTACTATCACTAGTCGTTATGATGGAGTCATTAAAAAACTGTATTATAATCTAGACGATATTGCCTATGTGGGAAAGCCATTAGTAGACATAGAAACGGAAGCTTTAAAAGGTATTGTAAATGTGTTCATCTATTCTGCCAAATTGATTATTGCTGTCCTTTTGTTATTGGGTACCAATTAAAAGAGATGTTAACTTTTAATAACTTATAGGATTTAATTTGGTGGTTTAAAAGCTGAAATTAGGAAAATAGAAAAGATCCTCTGTGATGCATGATTATCTTCTGACCAGTAACCATGTTAGAAACATATACATTAACACTTAATTTATCTGGAGGCCTGCCTTCTGGAAACCTTAGTGTTCAAAGAATCAACAGGCATTCTCAGGAATTAAAGATTCAGGCCTTGAATCCTAGTCACTAATAACAAAAACTGGAGCATGTGCAGGATTAAATGTAACAGTGGGATCATTCTGTTTGCCTTTGATTCAAAAACAAAAACACTTGGAGTGTCTGGCTAAGTCAGTCAGTGGAGCATGCAACTCTTGATCTTGGGATTGTGAGTTTGAGCCCCACGTTGGGGATAGAAATTACTTTAAAAAATTTTTAAATTAAATATTAAAAAAAAAAAACCCGACACTCTCATTGGTAATGGTTATGAAAGCCAAAGTTCTTGAAGAGAACTGGAAGAGAGAAGAAGGAAAATCATAATGAAAAGTGAAGAGACTAGCCTTCAGAAGAAGCAGCGACAGTGGAACTTAGAAGCAGTAGATGTCCTGACAAAAGTGAATCCTTTGTGACAGTGTTTCAGAGGAAAACTAAAACAGTGGGCTCTCCCAGTGAAGGCAAACTGCTGGCTATCTACCCCAGAAGCTCCTTATGTGGCATTGTTGAGATACACTAAAGTTACGTCATCTAGAAAACAGCTTTGCCATCAGGGATTGGCGGGGGGGTGGGGGTGGCATAAGTTTTGTGATGCCACCCTAAGCCAGCAATATTTCACTTATTTCAGGGCTGAAATAGACATTTTAGTAGTGTAATTCAAAAGTCCAGAAGAAGTCTGAATTACGGTGGCTGGTTGACTCATAGTTCTACAGACTCTATCATTAATAACAACAGCAACATCTAATATCACAGTCATACTTCACAGTTTATAAAAAGTTTCACCATTATTTTATTTATCCTTACTTGTGAAGTATTTCAGTTTAACAAATGAAGAAACTAAACCTATAGATGTTGGGCTATTTGCCCAATGGTCAGTGACAGAACCAAATTTAGATCTCGATGGCCTTTGTCCAGAATATTTTACACTCTGACATGCTGCCTCCAAAAGTTGGAAGATAGCCTATTGAAGCCTTATTATTTATTAATCTCTACTATAAAAGCAGGATATGCACATTGTAGCAAGTTATAAAATGCAGAAAACCAAAAATAAGAAAATGAAAACATTCCTGCTACTCAGAAATCACCACTCTTTTTTTTTTTAATTTTTTATTGTTATGTTAATCACCATATATTACATCATTAGTTTTTGAGAAATCACCACTCTTAACACATTAGTGTTTATTGTTCCAGATATTTTTCTAAGCACACACATATGCATTGAAGTAATTTTACCAAAGTAATGTATTGTGCTTACTGTATTCTAATCTGTTTGCTTAACTAGATATGTATTTTTGTGATAATACATTTTCATTTTCTCTGATAATCAGACTGTATTAAATTTTCCCAGTTGCCCCCAAAATGTCCTTGAAATTTCAATTGGTTTGTTCAAATGGGTCCAATATGGCACTAGACATGGCCCACGGTCTCTTTTCACGTGACTCATACTCTTTCCCATTTTGTTTCGTGACACTGACTTGTGGACAGGACTGTGTCATTTGTTTTGCAAAATGTCACATCTTTGGGATTTGTCTTGTTGCTCCTTCATGGTGGTGTTGGCTTGTTCTTACCATTCTTACAGTTCCTGTAAATTGGAAGCAAGTTTCAAAGGCTAGTTTCAAGTCAAATATTTGGCTAGAATACATCATGGATCACATTGTGTACTTCATATAGCTTCACATCGAGACACACATAACATCTGGATGACCTGCTATAGTGACACTAAGTTTAAATAGTGAATTAGGATAATGATACCCTTGCCCCTCCATTGTAGTTATGTTTTACCTCTTGCGACCTGGAAGTTATCTATGTGGTGTTACTTTGGCATTATATAGATAGTTTATAGTCATTTGAGAATGCTTGCCTAAATCAGCACTTGCTTTAGGGGTTGTGGAATGATGATTTTTTGATTCTGTCATTCTTTTTACATTATTAGCTGGCATTATTCTGTAAAGTGGAGCTTCACCCTCATCACTTGGACCTATTAGTTACTCTGAAATACAGTTCCTACTGGAAAGACAGAATAAATGCTTAATTCTTTTCCCTTACCAAGGAGGTTCTTTTAATAGTGATACTAAATTTCCAACTTTCTCTTTGTGTGTATTCAGTTGATTTACTGTGTTACATCTACTATAATCGTTCTTTTTCATGCTGAAATTGTTAATAGGAGTGACCCTTTCAGGGTGGCTCCTGTGTGTCCTTTTAACATGACCTTATTAATTTTCAAGTTTCCTTGCTTTTGGCACGAGAAGATAATTGGGACTCACCTGTATGTTCCCTACCCGAGATCTGGAATTATCCATTTCTTCAGGGCTCTTGTTCTTTTAATGTGGAGTAGACAAGAGACCATAATCTAGGTAGTAGGGGTGCTTCCTATTATCTTGATTCCAAATTTCTATTGAAAGGCATGATTTAGGAATATTAAAAATGAAAAAGAATTTACCTTTTAAAATTACCTGAAACACAAGATTATTTTGATGGATCAGTGACTTTTTAAATTATTATTATTGGGGTGCCTGGGTGGCTCAGTTGTTAAGCGTCTGCCTTCGGCTCAGGTCATGATGCCAGGGTCCTGGGATCGAGCCCCGCATCGGGCTCCCTGCTCAGCAGGAAGCCTGCTTCTCCCTCTCCCACTCCCCCTGCTTGTGTTCCCTTTCTTGCTATGTCTCTCTCTGTCAAATAAATAAATAAAATCTTTAAAAAAATAAATTATTATTATTATTATTATTATTATTATTAAATTAGGACCTAAAAAGGCAAGAGGGTTATACTCTGGGCACAAACTGAGAGCGCTGAATCCTAACCACTAGACCACCAGGGAGCATCATTCTGGGCACAAATTGAGACAAACAAAGATGCTGAACACTATTATGGATATCATTAAATTAGAACACCCAGTCAAGTGCTCTAGACATTAGATACTAATCTAAGCCATCCAAAAAAATGAATTATTTATATGAACAAGCAAACAATTGAGACTTACGGGGTTTTTATTGTTTGATTTTAGAGTTTATTTTGGCATTTCCAATGAGATTCAACTTAAGTCTTGTTATATAGCAAAATACAAAGTCAAAGAACTATTTCAGAGTAGGGGTGTTTTTTCTAGAGAATTCTTTCACAAAAATTAATCTCCTATGTAGCATGAATGAATCTCAAAAATGTATGCTGAGTGAAAGAAAACAGGCAAAAAAGAGAATATGCTGCATGGTCTATGTACATAAAATTTTAGAAAATGCAAACTAATCTATAAGGACCGAAAACTCATTAGTGGTTGCCTGGGTATAAGGAATCTTTTGGGGGTGGTGGATATGTTCCTTATCTTGATTGTGGTGATGGTTTATGGGTATATACATATTTCAAGTTACCAAGTTTTATATTTTACGTATGTGCAGTTTATTGTATGTCTGTAAAAAGTGAGATTGCTTAGATTATGTTCAGAATAAAAATTATCTGTTAATATTCCTCATAGAGAACTGATCATTTGCTAGCTATTCTGTTTTGTTTGCTAGTGAGAGTGCAATCTGAACAATTACCTTACATTGTAATTTTATTTTGTATATGTACCTTTTTGCTCTTATATTTATGTTTTATTGTATTTTTTTACTATAAGAATAAACTGAATCATAACCTATATATAAGCAAACCTGTAGAACAGTAGATTCAATTTAATGAGACATTTATATATGCCTCTCTTTAATTTTAGAAATGGGAAAGATTTCTAAATATTTTGTATACCTCTTCTTAAGCAAGAATTTGTAATAATATTCAATTTGTTTATATTGTTTTTTGCTTTAGTGCTAGTAAAACGAATTACACTATATACTATACTGCTATACTATACTATACTATGTTATACTATAATTATACTATATTATACTATAGAAAATTACCAAACAAGAAATCTTTTAGGAGTATAAGATACATTATTTCCATTTTACAGGGGGAAAATAATTATAGCATAGAACTATCAAGGGTATAAGAGATCAAAACTAGACATCTTAATAGTAGTATTGGAAATTAATCCTGTCTTCCAGTGCTTGTTTAAATGATATTCTGTGGTACTGTTTTTTTGTAACATGGTGTTGTTGTCTGCTTTTCAAGGCCAGAGTATCAGGATAATTCTGAGAAGGGAAACTCTATTTGTGATGTCTTAAGTCCTACCTATGAGTGCTTTGACTGTAGACAGACCTCCACTTGAAAAGAGCTTACTGGACTAACTTATGCCACCTTGTATGTGTGACATTTAGAAGGCATATACTTCTGTGCTCACTTCAGCAGCACATTTACTACAAGACATATACTATTAAAAAATATGTATTACAAGTTGAAATCCAGTTATTTAATATTATCAAGATGATATCAAAGCTATTCCATGTCTCAGTGTGTTATCTGCTGGAAACTCAGTTTTAAGTATATTGCCATGCATTCTTTTTACAGCTAACCTGGCTTTCTCTAGTCTATTTCACAAAGTAAGATGGCTACTCACTTTTTTAAATAACTGAAGTTTTTTATACCAACTTCTCAAAATCATTTATTTGAGGGGAATCATTAGTTTTTTTTTTAACTTTATATGTTTTACTCCTTCCTAAAGTGAGGGTATTGAGTATAGCCTAGAATCTTTTTTTGATTATGTAAAAACATGCTAATGAACATTTATTATTCTGGAAACAATACAATTCTGCATCTGGCTTTTGGTTTTTTAGCCTACTTCTTAGCATTATCATCATGCCCAGCCATAATTCTCCTTCCTAACTTTCTGGGAACACCGATAACTAAGTTTGTTAAGAAGGAGGTACAAAGAAGAGAAAGTAGGATCTGGTTAAGGGTCTAAATTCCTTTTTTCTGGAGCAAGGGCACGGTTTTAATGCTGAGGCTGTGTGTCAGCTGTTTTAGGTATTCTGATCCTAAAGCTATGTGCGGAATTAGGTTGTCAGGACGTCTGACCACCACCCCTATACCTGATTAGTCCTAACTGAGGAGTCTTGCCACCATGGGGAAGTATTAAGGAAAGAGAGGGAGGAACATAAGCTATAGCAGAATTCTATCCTTTAGCATCACTGCCTATCATTGACTGAATGCTTTCTCTGTGCTAATGCTATATATATATTATTTCATATAATCATGTAGATTAAGTTATTTGGATTATTATTTGCATTTGACACATGCACCATTGAGACCCACAGAGGTTTAATATCTTGCCTGCGGTCACGTCACGTAGTTAGTAACTGGTGGAACTCTGATTTGACCCCAGCTCTGTTTAATTCTGAAGCCTGTATTCCTAACCACTTTGTTACACTGAAAATTCTATTCAGAGACTATGAGTATCAGCTCCATTCTGCATCTAGAACACTGGGACTGAATTTCTAGCACTGTTCATATGCATATTTATGAAAATCTGCTATGACAACATAAACTAGGTGTCGCACAGAGTCTATAATCTATTTTTTTTAAGATTTATTTATTTAGATAGAAAGAGCATGAGTGGGAGGGACAGAGGGAGAGGGAGAGAAAATCTGAAGCAGACTCTGTGCTGAGCCCAACATGGGGCTCAATCTCACGATCCTGAGATCATGACCTGAGCCGAAACCAAGAGGCAAAAGTCTAACCAACTGCACCACTCAGGCACCACCCCACAAAGAGTTTATAATATTAAAATGTTTACCAGGATTAATACAGTGTTCTGAGTTAAAGAAAAGCTCTTTCAGGGGTGCCTGGGTGGCTTGGTTGGTTGAGTGTCTGACTCTTGGTTTTGACCACGCAGGGCTCTGTGCTAAGCACGGAGTCCTCCTGTCCCTCTCCCTCTGCTGCCCTCCCCCCTCCTCCCCCACCCCACTCACGCTGTCTCTCTCCCTCCCTTGCAAATAAATAAACGAATAAATAAAATCTTAAAAAAAAAAGTCTTTGACATAAAACCATTCTAAGAACATAGCATGTCATTTAATTAAATTAAACTAAATACATAAATTGCAGAGTGTGATGCCTGGGCATAGTAAGTGGGCATGAATGGTAGCTATAACTTAGTTTTGTTCAGCCAGTTGTAGATTGAACTGATTGAATTAGCTGTTTAAATAATTTGTTGTGAAAAAGAAAATGCAGTAGGATCTCGTTGGTTTGAGTATCATTAGTTCTCAACTTACGATCATTTATTTAAGACCTAAACTAAAGTTTACATTTGTTCTACAAGGAAAGGTCTTCCTAAGCAGTTTTGCAGAGAGAAAAGTTTAAAACTTATTATGAAAACCAATTGTTTCAAACACCCTTGAGTGCTTTAGTATTTCAAAACATTTTCTCTACAAGAATTTCCCCAATTAAGTGAATTAATTGACTACTTAGTTCTTAAAATACCTAAGAATATTGCAACTTCAGTTTTAATATTTTTACTGATTCGAATTACTTTTTTATTTAGTTAATCTGAAATAATAGTTCTATTATAAATTTGCATCACATGAAGAATTCTGGCAACATTGACAGTTTTCGTGACAAAAAGTGCTTATTTACCAGAGTCTTTTTGTTCTTTTTAAACATTTAAGTAAGGCTCTTAAAACTGTATATTCTAAATCCACTACTGAAAGAATAAAATCCCACATATTAGAGTATAGTGCTAGAATCCTGAAAATCACTTTACTTGGGGGAGAGTTATGAAATTTTAGGTTAGCCTTAACTCCATCGCCTCTTAGAGTCTCTTTCTACATTGATAAAATTGAGAAATATGCCCTGCATTCCTCTAACAGTGTTGCGATCATAAAAGGAGAAAATATGTATAAAAAACTCAGAAAATGATTTAAAGTCCTATGTAGTAAGGTGGTATTTTAGTGCAGAAGAGAGCTTGCTTCCAACAACTACCTGACTACTACAAATAATATATAATGTAATATCAGAATGTTTTTCAGAAAGGTAACAGTAAATTCAATGATCTTTTGGAAATATGTAACTGTTGGATATTTCTGGGCATTTATACATTTCTCATATTCCAGCAAATACACATTAATTCAGGTTTTATTTGGAATTCCTACAATTGAATCCCCTTGGTTTCCCTTTGCATCTTGGTTCCTAATACTCATCTTTCTTACTAGTTTCTCCAGTAACTTTAACAGATGTGGACAATACTACAGAGTTTCTCAAACTGCAACAAAACTATACCTTGAACAATAGGAGCTGTGTTCTAGCTTCTGTGACCACCAAGAAAATTTACTAGGGTCGTGAACTAATGGAAACAGCACAGGGCAAGGCAGCCCTAGGAATGAATCCCAGCTCTTCACACTTTCTTAGCTGTGTGAACTTAAGCCAATCCTTTCACCTTTCAAGTGTCAAATTTTTTTAATCCATAGAATGGGATAATAACACCTATCTTACATAGTTGGAATGAAGATTAAATTATGATATTGCATATGTAGTGCAGTATTTGACATATAATAGGTGCTTGTGGGGGAGGAAAAATAGTTATCCCACTAACCTTCTGAGTTCTTAGCTGAGACTTCCTATAATAAAAGACAGATTAACAAGAGAAAAATAGAAGTTTATTAACATGTATACCTCATCTATACATGGGAGACACCCAGGGAAAGATGAGTAACTCACAGAGGTGGCTTTAGAGTTTAGGCTTAAGTATCTTTTGATAGGGAATGAGGAAGTGGGATGTTGGCTTCTTAGGGGAGAGTAAGTAGTTTTTCAGGAAGATGAATGGGCCCTTAGAGAACAGATGGGAGGTATGACAATTTGGGCCAAAGTTTGAGTGTAGTGCTTATTTCTAGTCCCTCCTGTGATGGCAGTCAGTCTTCCCTGGTGGATGAAACTCCTGGGGAAGGGATTTATGACAGTTGAGTTCCTTCTGGAAGATCTGTCTTCTAGGCACATGAGAGTTTAGGGAATGCCTTTCCCTGCATTTGCTATTTGTCAGGTGCCTACAGTTCAAAATAATCAGTATACAAAAGTGGCATATTTGGGGTGGCATATTCTGCTACCCTGCATGCTCAATACAAGTTTTGTTTTGTTTTGCCTTCCTCACCTTTAGGGGAACTTGGAGAGCTCCACCGGGCCAGTTCATAGACCAGTGAGGAGGAATGAAGAGATTGTCTTTCCATAGGCACAGCAGCGAAGAATTATTTGCTTTGAATGGAATGTCAGAGCAAATTCAGTTGCCTGCTTTCAGAGGCTTAGTCTCTTATTCACTCATTACCACAGAGATTTCTGCTGTACAGCATGGATTTCCAAGCATCAGACAATTAAATGCTCTCAAAAACTTTTTTATTTTGGTTGCAGAAATACATGCTAATAGCCTGGGGTAGTTTTTCATCTATCTAGATTTGGAGACTAGATCAACCAAATTAGCATTAGCCATGAAAATAAAATCTTCCACAGCCTTCCTTAAGCTGTATTCAAAGCAGAGAAAAATGTTACATGCTTTATTATTTTAGGAAAGCGTTTTAAGATTGTCACAGATTTTTATATGATTCTTTCATGTCATTTGCCTCACATTTGATTCTTACTCTATACTATTTGTAAATATAAATGAGAAATTTATTAGGGAAGTGTTTAAAATACAAAACGTTTAAAAATTTATTGAAGAAGCTCTCATTTTTTAACTTGTAGCTGCTGCATGATTCTAACAGAAATGAAGTAAACACCAGGTAATAATAAATATTCCACAGCACTAGGTGCCAATACCCCCTTCCCCCCCACCCCATATGTTTCCCATTGTGAAGTTGTGTCTTCCCACTTTGAAGTAGCCTAACTAGTATGCTTTTGATTATATCTTTTAAGTTGAATTTATTTATATATTACAAGCCACGAAGCTTGTTTTTATTTTTTAATATTTTCAACTAAAGAGTAAAATTTTACCTTGTTGACCAGATTCAGAAGAAGATGTGGTTGAAACTCCTGCTGTGTCGCATGATGAACACACACACCAAGAGATAAAGGGCCAAAAAACACTGGCAACTCCTGCAGTTCGCCGCCTAGCAATGGAAAACAATGTGAGTTGTCTTAATATTTAAGTGTGAGGTTACCTAGAAAATATACATTTGTATCAGTGAAAAGTTAGCTAACTATTCCATGAAGAGATGGCTCAAGTTGAGGTTAGAGAAAAATGATAACGTATGTTACTGAAAAGTGATTGCTGCAGAAAAGCACCAGTGAGAAACAAATTGCAAACTTACTACTTTTGATTAATTGAGCAGTGTGGTTTTATAATTTTTCCTTAGAGCTAAATAATAGTCAGGGCTACCATCTATTGCACATTTGTAAATACTAGTGTCTTAGATCAGGTCCCCTAGAAGCCAGCTTGAGACAGGGATTTGGATGGATGTGATGGATTGATTGAAGGAAGGAACAACTTTTCTGGGAATGAGGGAAGCAGATAGAGAAAGGGAAAGAAGGGAAATGGGCTGGGCAAGCATGTGGTCTCAAGGATCTGATCCAGTGGGGTTAGGGAAAACCATTGAAATTGTACTGACTTGAGACTTGGAGACCAGCCTTTTGAATTCCCTGTTAACAGTCAGTCATTCGTGCTTACCCAGGGCTAAGTGGCTCCCAGGTACTGGAATCAGTATGTACACATTATCTAATTTAATTTTTACAGTAAAGCTGTAAGTTATGGGGGCTATTTGGGGACTTGGGGAGGTGAAGTAACAGGTCCAGGGTCACACAGCTAACACAGTGGTGGAGCCAGGATTCTGAAGTGAGGCTCTGTGACTCTAAAACCAGTACCCTTAATCATGATATACTGCCTCAACAATGATTGCATCCATTACTTAAGCATTTATGAGTCAGACACTGTGTACACACACATTCTCTCTAATCCTCACAGCCGTCCTGCAGGGTAGGATGAGAAAGGGCAGAGAAGTTGATTAATTGCCTCAAGTCAAGTCAGTAGCTGAACTGGGGATTTGAACACATCTGTTGTTTTTCAAACTTGGGTTCTTTGCACTTCGCCCCATAATGCAGGGTTTTTGTCTGTTTTTGAGAGAGGTAAAGTTACAGTGGGAAAAAACAAAAGCGTACATTTTAGAAATATGTAATGAGTCATCAAAATGTTCATATCCCTTCAGTCACTTATCCTACCATTGGGAGACTATCCCAAGGAAATAATTTAGGATACATTCTTCCAAGTGTTTTCTACAGTCAAAATGAGAAGGCATATACGGGTTCAAAATGAGGGATATGCTTGGGTAAATTATGTTAAAGATTTTATTTATTTATGAGAGAGCAGGGGGAGGAGCAAATGGAGAGGAATAAGCAGACTGCCCTGAGCACGGAGTCCAACGTGGGGGCTTGATCCCAGCACCGAGAGATCAAACCAAGAGTCGGGGCACTCAACCAACTGAGCCAACCCAGGCGCCCCTGGGTAAATTATGTTTTAAACCCTTAATGAAAATTTATGTAGTGATTAAATGTGTTCAAATATGAAGACTATTTAGCATAATAGAAAAGAGAAATAAGGTGGAACACTACATTGGTAAGGGCATCAGATGGAAGATTGATGTTATGTATTACTTTGAAAGTTATAAAGTATTTTACTAATGTTTTTCTTAATTATATAGAAAAACTACCGGGGTACCTGAATGGCTCAGTCGTTAAGCGTCTGCCTTTGGCTTGGGTCATGATCCCAGGATCCTGGGATTGAGCCCTATGTCAGGCTCCCTGCTCCGTGGAGAGGCTGCTTCTCCCTCTGTCACCCACTCCCCTCATGCTGTCTCGCTCTCTCACTGTAGCTCAAATACATAAATAAAATTAAAAAGAAAAAAGCAAAACTACCTGTAGCAATGCATGATTTTGCTTTCCTATACCATTTCTTAAAGATGTATATAATAAGTAGAAGATTTGTATAATTACCAGAAATTACTAGATTACTTATTGTAAATCACCTTTTCTTTTTTTGCAGTTTACATATTTATGAATTGAGTTTGTTTTAAAATTAAAAACCAATGTCATTTACAGTTATTTGAAATTACCTAAAAATTATTTAAATCCTCAGTATTCTTTGTTATAAACTAAATTTGACTTGATAAAGTCCTTTATTCTTCTGAAGTCATCCTTAGAGAAGCACTAATACAAATGATGCAGGACTTAACCCTGAGAAATTAATAAATACACAGTAAGTATGAGGCTATCATTTAAGCTTATGTGTCTTTTTATTTAAAGAGAATTAAATTTAACGAGAATACTTTATCTCTGTAACAAACATGGAAGGGGATTAAATAAAGCCAGATCACAGTGTTTCCAGAGAGAATCCCGAACCTTTTAGGTTCCTGGACCCAGTTCCAGTGTGTGTATTGGGGGTGGGGATGGTTCCCACAACAACAAGCAATTCTCTGGACACCAACTGGGTAGCTACAATTCAGGTCAATTCTGACACAGTCTGTTGATAGTGTCAGAATTGGCAGGTTAATGATTCATTCCTGCAAGACTGCCCACCCTCCCCTACAACACTTCAGACAGTCAGGTGATAACCTATGCCTCTGACTGGCTGGCAACAGACAGGAGTTTCCATTGACCCCCCTCCAACTCAGCATGCCCATCACAAGCCCAGGTTATTACCTGTACTTCTGACCTATTGGCTCTGGATGAGAGGTCCCCACAATCCCCTCTTTGGGTTTGATTAATTTGCTAGAGCAGCTCACAGAATTTAGGAGACCCATTTATTCACTAGATTACCGATTTATTATAAAAGAATACAACTCTAGAACAGCCAGGTGGAGGGACACAGAGCAAGGTATGTGGAAAGAGGCATAGAGGTTCCATGCCCTCTCTGGGTGTGCCACTCTCCCCAAATCTCCATGTGCACACAACCTAGAGGCTCTCTAAACCCAGCTCTTTTGGGTTTTCTTTGAAGGCTTCATTACATAGTCATGACTGATTAAATCATTGTCCATTGACAAATGATTCAACCTCCTACCCCTCCCAATTTGGAGTAGGGGTACTGAAAGTTTCAAACTTCTTATCACAAGATTGGTTCCCCTGGCAACCAGGCTCCATTTTTAGCTCCCTAAGGGCTTTTCAAAAGTTCATTAACATAACAAAAGAGACCTCTTTTCCCAGGTCCTTTCAGGGATTTTAGGAGCTCCGTGCCAGAAATGGGGAGGAAGACTAAAAGTATTCTTATTATAAATCACAATCTCACAATGAGTATCTAGTGGAAAGTGGAATTATGTCATTTATTATTATGTAGAAACAATAAGGGATGCCTGGGTGGCTCAGTGTTTTAAGCATCTGCCTTTGGCTCAGGTCATGATCCCCGGGTCCTGGGATCAAGTCCCTGTTGGGCTCCCTGCTCAGTGGGGAGTCTGCTTCTCCCTCTCCCTCTCCCTCTCCCTCTCCCTTTGCCCCTCCTCCTGTTCGTGCTCATGCTCTCTCTCTCTCTCAAGTAAATAAAATTTTAAAAAGAAAAACAAAAGAAACAATAAAACATATATTTGACACTTGGGCTGAGAAACTCACAGTAAATTTAAATTTACTCAGTAAAATTAATTTCAGTGTTTTGTACTTAAACAACTATGAGGAAAAAAAACTAAGAGAGCTTTTGTATGATGATTATTTTAACTGTTACTAGTTTACTGATTGATGGCCAAGTTGTCTCGAATATGCTATAAAGCCATGTACATGAGTTGTGTCTTTCCATGGTGTCAGCTTTGTTCAATCACAAAGCAAGGTTAACATAATTGTAAAGCAAGTTCAGGATTCCAAACTCAATGACATTTTTTTTTTAAGATTTTATTTATTTGAGAGAGAGAGAATGAGAGATAGAGAGCACGAGAGGGAAGAGGGTCAGAGGGAGAAGCAGACTCCCTGCCGAGCAAGGAGCCCGATGTGGGACTTGATCCCGGGACTCCAGGATCATGACCTGAGCTGAAGGCAGTCGCTTAACCAACTGAGCCACCCAGGCGCCCACAAACTCAATGACATTTTGCTACGCATTTAACTTGGCTTCATACACGTCACACAAAACAAAGTACAAATATAAAGTCACACAACCAATAGGATACAGTAAGGGGTAAGAAGTTAATAAACCAAACACCAGGTCAGTCCCTGAGAGCACGGTTGAGATGAGGACTCCGTCTGGTCTGGGTCAGCACTTGGCACAGGCTGCTTACTATGTTCGGGCAGTGGAGGATCTCTTATGTTCAGAAATCAGTCGGGCGAACCTTTGGTGGCAGTTGCCTTTTTAATGCAGTCAGATGTGGAAGGGTCAGCATCTGCAGAGTCTGCTATAGATGTCTAACCTTTTTAAAGCTTAATTAGTCTTAGGCCTTGGCAGGTCTCTTCTGGTTCTGATGACTACTAGTTCCTGGTTCTTCCAGGTTTGCATGACCTTCCAGATTGTCTCCTTAGTACTGCGCTAGTTTTGGTGATTTCTGGTCTTAGCTGCGATGCCTTTGGCTGCTTATGCCACTGCTTGACATGAGCGAATCCATCTAGCTCTCTACAAAAGGTCAGAAACATTGGTCTACATTTGCTTATAGTGTTTAATTTTCCGTTCTTATATAGTCTCCAAAAGTAAAAAAAAAAAATCTAATAAGAACTATGCAAGAGGGCGCCTGGGTGGCTCAGTTGGTTAAGCGACTGCCTTCTGCTCAGGTCATGATCCTGGAGTCCCAGGATCGAGTCCCACATCGGGCTCCCTGCTCAGAAGGGAGTCTGCTTCTCCCTCTGACCCTCTTCCCTCTCGTGCTCTCTATCTCTCATTCTCTCTCTCAAATAAATAAATAAAATCTTTAAAAAAATAAAAATCTTTAAAAAAAAAACTATGCAAGAAGTTTAAAAATAGTTGACTGTTTATAAAATGTAAGTTTTCATAGGTATGGATTATATACAATGTAGATACTGCATTGTTACCACATGGGCAAATGAACAGTATATACAAAAGTAACAAATGAATAAAAAAAGTAACAAATGATTACATACGGAGGGTAGCTGTAGTTTATAGCATTCTATTAAGATAATAAAAATGTTATTTCCTTATACAAATTTATATTGGGCAGAGATTATTTTTACCTTCAATTGATTAAATTCCATTTAGAGGGGCGCCTGGGTAGCTCAGTCGTTAAGCGTCTGCCTTTGGCTCAGGTCATGATCCCAGGGTCCTGGGATCGAGCCCTGCATCGGGCTCCCTGGTCCGCGGGAAGCCTGCTTCTCCCTCTCCCACTCCCCCTGCTTGTGTTCCCTCTCTCGCTGTCTTTTTCTGTCAAATAAATAAATTAAATAAATAAATAAATAAATAAATAAATACCATTTAGAGATTTTAATGATGGATATATTTATTTCTAGATAGTTTTTGATGTAGGAAAATGTTGGGGTTCAGAGCAAACAATCAAGAAAGAATTCTTGAGATGTCTTTGGTGCAAAAAGGTGGTTTTATTAAAGCTTGGGGACAGGACCCGTGGGCAGGAAGAGCTGCACTGGGGTCATGAGAAGTGGCTCGTCATGTACTTTCAAGTTGGGATGGGGTTTGGGATAGCATAAGTCTAAGGAATTTTGGAAGCTAGGTTTCCAGGACCTTCAAGGGGCTAGCTATTGTTGGAAAAAGGTTATTCATTACTGTCTAATAAAACCCTAGTCATGAGACCCTTCAGATGTGTATCAGTAGACCATGTGCTTGGGGGATGATTGCCAACATGTATCTGAGGGGTAGAGATAAAGGAAGTTTTCAAAGGAATTTTTATATGTTAAAGACAGTTTACAGGATCCTGGGGTCCAGATAATGTTAAGCTAAGATTGCTTTTTGCCCTTAGCAAAGTATTAACATCGAGGCAGCTAAGTTACTAGAGGAATGTCACTCTGCCTGTCTCAAGGACTTGTCAGTGGGCTGAAGGTAGTAAGGAAATTTAATCATTTTTCTTTCATTTTCTTCTTTCTTTTGCCTTTGTTTCCCACATCGGTTTTATTTTTTTATTTTTAACATTAAAATGTCTTTTTTTTTTTTTTTTAGATTAAGCTGAGTGAAGTTGTTGGCTCAGGAAAAGATGGCAGAATACTTAAAGAAGATATTCTCAACTATTTGGAAAAGCAGACTGGAGCTATATTACCTCCTTCGCCAAAAGCTGAAATAGTGCCACCTCCACCAAAACCAAAAGACAGAACTATTCCTATACCAATATCAAAACCTCCAGTATTCACAGGCAAAGATAAAACAGAACCCATAAAAGGTAATAACAGTAATGTAAGGCACTACTACAAGTTATTTGAGGAAATTTTCCTCAAAGATCCAGGTATATAATATGGTGTTTTCAATTCTTACTGAGGGGAAAGTTCAAATTCATCATACTTTTTTAAATGGTGAAATAATATAGTTTTTCCAGGAAATGTTTCAATTTCTACTGTTAATTTCTATTTGTTTGGTTTTTTTAAAGATTTTATTATTTATTTGACAGAGACACAGCGAGAGAGGGAACACAAGCAGGGGAAGTGGGAGAGGGAGAAGCAGGCTTCCCGCAGAGCAGGGAGCCCGATGCAGAACTCGATCCCAGGACCCCGGGATCATGACCTGAGCTGAAGTCAGGTGCCTAATGACTGAGCCACCCAGGCGCCCCTCTACTGTTAATTTCTGAAGAGCAATATGTTAGCAGGTTTCTTGGAATATAAACTTATATACTGATAATTGTTCTTTTTAAAGACTCAGGATGTTACAAACATAATTTTTAGTTAGCTTCAAAATAACCAGCTCTGATTTGTTATTTATAAACTCTTAGGGGGATTAACATCCAGAAGTATGGCTTTGCAAGAAAGCCAGTAAGTAAATACATGGCTTGCATCCTTTTATACATATTTTTTTGATATACTACAGCATTAAAGGCAGTTACCTCTTAATATCATTACACTTGACACTGGGTACAATGCTGAAGTCAGTGCTCCAGCATTGGAATTAGTGTCTTTCAACTGCATAATGAAGATGGTAGGCTTGAGGGGGAGAGTTTAGTTGAAAAAGTAAATGACATTAGAAAACCCTCAATTTTGGGGCACCTGGGTGGCTCTGTCATTGAGCATCTGCCTTCGGCTCAGGTCATGATCCCGGGGTCCTGGGATCGAGCCCCGCATTGGGCTTCCTGCTTAGCGGGAAGCCTGCTTCTCCCTCCCACTCCCCCTGCTTGTGTTCCCTCTTTCACTGTCTCTCTGTCAAATAAATAAATAAAATCTTAAAAAAAAAAAAAGAAAACCCTCAATTTTAGTAAAAAGGTTTAAAGGATTTAAGAATTTTAAAAATATAGGGGCCCTGGGTGGCTCAGTGTCTTAAGTGTCCCACTCTTATTTTCAGCTCAGGTCAGGGTCTCCGGGTCATGAGACCAAGCCACCTTGGGCTCAGTGGGGAATCTGCTTGAGATTCTCTCCCTCTGCCCCTCTGCCCACTGGGGCTTGCATGCTCTCTTGCTCTCTCTCCCTCCCTCTCTCTCTCTCTCAAATAAATAAATAAACCTTAAAAAGAAAGAATTAAAAAATACATGTAAATTTGGGATGCCTGGGTGGCACAGTTGGTTAAGCATCCAACTCTTGGTTTCAGCTCAGGTCATGGCCTCAGGGTTATGAGATCGAGCCTGCCTTGGGCTCTATGCACAGCGCTGAGTCTGCTCAGCGTTTCTCTCTCCCTCACCATCCCGCATGCGCACACCTGCACATGCACTCTCTCTCAAATAAATAAATATATATGATTCATATATATTTAATGTTTTCCAGGCTTTCACAAGGCAATGGTCAAGACCATGTCTGCAGCCCTGAAGATACCTCACTTTGGATATTGTGATGAAGTTGACCTTACTGAACTGGTTAAGTTAAGAGAAGAATTAAAACCCATTGCTTTTGCTCGTGGAATTAAACTCACCTTTATGCCCTTCTTCTTAAAGGTGAGATTTCATTCATTTCAAACAGGGCTTGAATAGGACATTAAAATTTTGTTTTGCAAATATGCAATATGTTAACTATACAAATATTACTTCTCACCATGTCATATAGTTAGAAAAATGTACAAGTGCACTATTTCTTTGTTTCTTAGGAATTTATAAAATTAAAATTTGTGTCATATTTTTATCAGCTCATCTCTTTGAGCTAGGTAATGGATTGTCTTGCCAGTTAAGTAAAGCCTTTAATTCTGAAATGATCACTCCAGCAAAATCCAGATTTGAACTATAACAAGACTTGGTATTGATCTTGCATATCACTTGACATGTATTCATTTTCATTTATTCAACAAACTTACACTGAGGGTCCTGGGAATTGTTTCTAGGCCTTCCGACCAGTATAAAACCATACTGTCAATTGACCATAAGCAGCTCAGTGTCTAGCTCATATTAACAACCATTTATGAAGCAGGTATGTAGCAGACCATGTACTGAGCATGCTGTATACATCATCTCTTAATTCTCAGAATAACCCTGACATGCAGATACTGCTATTTCCACTTTCCGCTTAAGGAAATTAGGGCTTAGAGAAGTTGAGAAACTTGTCAAGGATATATAGCTAAGTGGAGAAGCTAACTTTCTGGTTCTGGTCTGTTTTACTCAAAAATGCATACTGGTGTCTCTGACTCCAGTGTGCCTTCCCTCCAGCCCTTTCTGCATACTGCACCAAGACGAATCTTCTATAAATGAAAGTACTATATTGTGCCCTGATTCTTTCCAGTGGTCTCCTTCATTGTCTTCAGGTCAGTTGCTAACTCCCTGAATTTGGCATATAAATAGGATCACAAGCCTCTGCTTCCCACCTCTCCAGCTTCATGTCTCAGGCACTCACTCCTTCTGTTCTGGTCGGATTAAGCCTCCATAGTTGTTAGAGTATGTGACTTCACATGAAACGCCCCCTCCTCCTTTGATCAAATACCTGCACATCCTAAGTGCCAAATTCTGTTCAGGAATAGCCTCCTCCAGAAGCTTTCTTTGGCTGTCACAGTTTGAGTTAAATATTCCTGTTTCCTGTTGCACTTTATCTCGGTGCAGTGCGCAAATGTTTGCTCCATTTTCTCTTCCCTGCGTGCTGAGCCTCATGGGGCACACACTGTTCTTTATCTCCAGCATTTCAGCAGCTACCTGAACAGCTAAGTGATTGGTCTGTGAACATGAGATATAATAGATGTCTATAAATGAGACATCTGGGCTGTATTTTAGCCATAGAGTCATTTTTAAAAACACAGTCATTGAAGCAGGTGGATGAAATCACCCTAAATTGTGTGCAAATGAGAAGAAAAGAAGGCTAGAGATTTTACATCAGTGTTTAAGGGGTAGATAGAAGTGGATTTGGCAAAGAGTGGAAGAGAGTGAATGGGATCAGTGGTAAGATGACAGAAAAACCAGGAAAGTATCTCCTAGAAGCCAAAGTGTATCTCTTGCTGTATAACAGGCCACTCCCAAATTTAGTGGTTTGATATAACAGCCATTTATTATTTCTCATGAGTCCATAGGCAGGCAGGGCCAGTTTGCTAATCTTGACAGAGCTTACTTCTGTGTCTGCAGACAGCTAGTAGGTTGGTGGGGGTGGGCTAGTGTAAGATGGCTTTGGCAGGGATGACTCGTTTCTCTGCCTTATGTCTTTCTCAGCTCCCCAGCCTGCTAGCCTGCATGTGGTCTCATAGTACTAGCAGGGATGAAGAGAGGAAGCAGAAATGCTCCAGCACTTTTTCCAAGCTCTGCTGCATCACATTTGTTCTTGTCTCATTGACCAAAGCAAGTCACATGACTGAGCTAAGAGTCAGCTTGTGCTGAGCACCACCAAAGGGCATGGATACGAGAGAGGCATGAACCACTGGGGCCATTCATTCATCCTCTCACACCAAGAGGGAAGAAAAAAGTTGTGATGGGGGCTCAGTTAGTAGAGCATGTGACTCTTGATCCCGGGAGAGTGAGTTTGAGCCCCATGTTGAGTGTGGAGATTACTTAAAAATGAATTACAAAAGTTAGGATGGGAACAGGCTATTGGATTAATAATTAAGAGGTCATGAATGGCCTGAGCCAGAACTGATAGAATAAAGTATTGTTGAGGTAGAAGCTTGATTCCAGTTATTTGTTGGATGAATAGAAATCGAGGAAGAAGAGACACTAGATGTAGGGGCACCTGAGTGGCTCAGTTGTTGGGCATCTGCCTTCAGCTCGGGTCGTGATCCAGGGTCCTGGGATCGAGCCCCGCATCGGGCTCCCTGCTCGGCGGGGAGCCTGCTTCTCCCTCTCCCACTCCCCCTGCTTGTGTTCCTGCTCTCGCTGTGTCTCTCTCCGTCAATAAATAAATAAAATCTTTAAAAAAAATAGAAGTATCTGGTAAAAGGCAGATGGAGCATAGGCACAGAGGGCAGGTATGGTGGTTGTTCAGGGTAGATTAAGGAAAGGTTCCATCTGCCCGCCCCCCTCCTGGAAAAACCAGAACAGATCTGTAGGCTGAGGGAAAGAGCTGGAAAATGGAGAGTTAAAAATATGTGAGTGACAAGTGACAAAAACATGTGACACTGGTGACGGTTTAGAAGCGAAGAGAGACCAGCTTTTTAATATACTGAATTTGTTTTATTATCATTTGTCTTCATCGTTCCAGTCTGAATGAAATACCTGATCTTTATTTTGAAAATAAAATTGAGTGTGCTTTGTTTTAAAATGATCTTTTCTTCTGCCTTTATGTAACTTTCAGAACATTCGGAAAATACTATGTATTGTATAGGGAAAAAAATTACCTCTTATCTAGGGACACACACCTTGTTTTTTCTTTTACAAAATTTGGATTGCACTCAAAATACTGTTTTTATGTGTAACCTTAATTATGGGTTTTTATATAAAGAAGATTTAAGTTATAGTTGTCAAATCAAATGCTTAGTAAAACTTGCCTTAACTCTCTAGGTCAAGGAAATGATTTTTTTTCCGACCACTGACCCACAGACAAAAATAACACTTAACACAGTGCATATAAAGAACTCTTAATTGGACCAGATGAAGGCCAGGGTGGGGAGTGGATTTTAAGGACAATCTTAAGCATTTTTATTTACCTGTTTTTTAAATGTAATACAAGGCATGGCAACCAAATGCAATGTGTGAACTTTGATTAGATCCTGGATGGGCAGAAAAACAGGTATAAAGAACATTTGAGGGACAGTTAAGAAAATCTGAATATGGACAGAAGAGGAATGGTACTGAGTAAGAAGAAAAAAAAGGAAAAAAGACGAAGGGAGAAGAAAGCAGAGGAGAGAATCATAAATGCTATCAATTCAGGGAGGTGGCCTATAAGTAAATATTCACACCAGCTGTACCCTTCACTTGGCCAAGGACACCAAATGGAACACTAGCCTCTAATGGTCAGTGCCCTTGGAAACCCTTAGTGCTTGTTCTTTCGACACAGGGAAACAGCTTACTGCCTTTCTGTTTTAATTCAGGGTGTTTTTGAACTTCAAATTTGCTTCTCATGTAAGATTCTACATGTAAAATTCTTACGTAGAATTTAGACATTTTGTTTGGTACTTTGGTCAGTCTCTACACTTATTTTGAAAATCTCCTTGATGTTGACAAGCTGCCTGATGACTTTATCTTTTATTCTTAAGTGATTAGAGTGACCTAGTTGCACACTGCTTGAAGGTAACATTGGGAGTAATATGCCTCGGTACATGAATACTAAAAGTTAAGCTCAGTGTAAATAAGGGTTCTCTCCCTCCCTCACACCCTTTATTGCTTCCAATTCCCTTTCTGAGTTAAGAGTGCTAATGTTGCATTCTCTTTCTGTTAAGCAGGCTGCTTCCTTGGGACTACTACAGTTTCCTATCCTTAATGCTTCTGTGGATGAAAACTGCCAGAACATAACTTATAAGGTTGGCTATATGTTGTGGAAAAGTTCTTGTTATAAATAGAAAATGGTGCAGTTGTGCTTATAGGTTGGAAAAGCTTCTTTTGTACCTCGAATAGTGATTTTTTTTTTAGACTAGAATTAAAGGTATGGGATGAAATATTAAACTGAATTATAATTTGTTATTGTTGGTTTTACTGGTTACTAATGATATTGTTCAGATACATGGAGTTCCATTTTTTAAGCCCCTTTGGTTTATTGCTTAAAATAATGGAAATAAATGGCTGTCAGGCAGTGGATTATGTTAACCCTTCTACATACCCTCCCCTCAAAGAGATGACCTCTCTCAGAATGGAGTTCCTGCAGTTTTTAAAAGAAGAATAATTTGAACGGAAATAGGAAAAGTAATGAAAGTATGAATTCATTTGAATGAACTCTTCTGTTTGGAGTGAAGATTTATTATTTATTATCTCAGTGAAGACTGAGAACTGTTTTGGGGATGCTAATACTTATTTATATTTCTACCTAATCGTGAACTTAGATATTTTAAGGGGTCAGATCTTAAATCTTCCCACATGAGGGGCACCTGGGTGGCTCAGTCAGTTAAGTATCCAACTCCTGATCTCAGCTCAGGTCTTAAACTCAGGGTTGTGAGTTCAAGCCCCGCATTAGGCTCCACGGGGTGTGTGAAGACTACTTAAAAATAATAATAATAGGGGCGCCTAGGTGGCTCAGTCGTTAAGGGTCTGCCTTCAGCTCAGGTCATGATCCCAAGGTCCTGGGATTGAGCCCCACATTGGGCTCCCTGCTCAGCGGGAAGCCTGCTTCTCCCTCTCCCACTCCCCTTGCTTGTGTTCCCTCTCTTGCTATGTCTCTCTGTATCAAATAAATAAGTAAAATCTTAAAAAATAATAATAATAAATTAGTAAATAAAATAAATAAAATCTTCCCATATGATTAATTCAATTTCCTGATTAAGTATATAGTTGTTGCAAAAAATTCAGACGAGAAAGTAACTATCTTTACCTTCAATCTCATGACCCTAAGAAAACTCACTGTTAATATTGAGATGTGCATGCTTCCAGGATTTTATTTTCATATACTTTAAAAAAAATAATGTGTTTTTATACATATTGTTTTATTTAACTTAAATTTTGTGTTTTTTTTAAGATTTTATTTATGTATTTGACAGAGAGAGCGAGAGAGCACAAGCAGAGGGCGAGGGAGAAGCAGGCTCCTCGCTGAGCAGGAAGCCCGATGCAGGGCTCGACCCCAGAACCCTGGGATCATGACCTGAGCTGAAGGCAGATGCGTAACCATCTGAGCCACCCAGGCGCCCCATTAACTTAAATGTTTTTAAACTTACTTCTTTTTCACTTTATTGATATCATAACATGTCAATAAATATCATTTTGTTATTTATTTAGCCTATTATTGATAAACACTTTGCAGTTTCTCGTACTCACAGTGTGAACTCAATATCCCTGTATATCTCTACATACTCTGTATTTATCTCCTTAACATAAAGTTTTATAAATGTTGGTACATATTGTTAAATATTCCCCAGAAAGTCTTATTATATCCACCAGCTTATATAGCTACTAATAATGAATGGAAATAGCCTGTTGCCCAATATTCTTACTGACAAAAAATTATTTTTTCCAAAAAATCTTTTTAAAATTCTTTAAAAATTCTTTAAATTGTCATCAATCTTATAGAAATAGGTTTTGGTTGTTTTTATGACAGTGAAGGTTGGTCCTTTCTTTTCTGTTAACTTATGAAAAGGCCTACTATACAATTTTTTTCTTTTTAGGCTTCTCACAACATTGGGATAGCAATGGATACTGAGCAGGGTTTGATTGTCCCTAATGTGAAAAACGTCCAGATCTGCTCCATATTTGAGATCGCCACTGAGTTGAACCGCCTTCAGAAATTGGGCTCTGCAGGTCAGCTCAGTACCACTGATCTTACAGGAGGAACATTTACTCTTTCCAACATTGGATCAGTGAGTAATAGAGATGTTCAAATTCACAAATCATATCTTAAGATTTCTGATCATATGCTCAATTAAAAATATATTTCATTTGCCATTTGTTCCTCAAAAGCTTAATTTTTCTACTCTTCCTTTTTTTTTTTTTTAGATTGGTGGTACCTATGCCAAACCAGTGATACTGCCACCTGAAGTAGCAATTGGGGCTCTTGGATCAATTAAGGTGTGTTTATTAAATAAATGGCAAAAGAGTTTTAGCAAATCGGGAGGGTAAACACAAGAGTGAACATTTCTGAGGTTTTGCCCTCACTTTAGGTTGCAGGATAACATTTGTCTCTGTAAGCCAATTATTTCTTCCTAAGAGGCAGGACTGCAATTCCAGTGGATTGTTCTGTATGGAACCCCAGTGGTTCATGCCAGGCACAGGTGCAAGTCTTTATGGATAATCACAAATATAGCCAATATCTTCTATCAAAATATCTTTATTTAGCCAGTCCAAATTATTTATAACAAAGTGAGACACCATTTAGACCATTTTTCTCAAACTTCACTCTGTTCAAGACTCATTGAGAGTACTAGTTAAAAAATCTTGGGCGCCTGGGTGGCTCAGTCGTTAAGTGTCTGCCTTTGGCTCAGGTCATGGTCCCAGGGTCCTGGGATCGAGCCCCACATTGGGCTCCCTGCTCAGCGGGAAGCCTGCTTCTCCCTCTCCCACTCCCCCTGCTTGTGTTCCCTCTCTTGCTATGTCTCTTGTCTGTCAAATAAATAAATAAAATCTTTAAAAAAAATGTAGTGTTCTTAGCCTGGGTGGCTCAATCAATTAAGTGTTCGACTCAGGTCATTATCTCAGGGTTGTGAGATTGAACCCCGTGTTGGGCTTAATGCTGGGTGTGCATCCCCCTTAAGATTCTCTCTCTCCCTCTTCCTCTGTCCCCCTCTGCCCCTCCCTCTCTAAAAAAAAAAAAAAAAGGCACTATTCTTGGCCTTGGGGACAGAGCCCCCAGAACTTACATTTTAAACAAGAACCCAGGTGATTCCAACGTGAGTGATCTCTTGGCCATGTTTTAGGAGACACTGACTTAGAATAAGGGTCGCAGTGATTCTTAACCTTGGCTACACATTAGAATCATCTGGGGAGCTTGAAAAAAAGTGCCTAAGCTCACCCTATTATCAACTGAATCAGAACTGAGGGGGTGGTGGATAGGGCTTGGGCATCTTTATTAACTCAGTGTTGAGAACCATCAGAATCAAAGAATTAAGCTCTTGGATTCCATTTTAGTACCACCATTACTAAATGTCATCACCATATTGACTTATTTTGGTCTTCATGTTTTCAGAAGAATCTTTCTTCTTTATATATGATGCTTGCACACTGAACATGTCTGGGACTTGTCTTTCATGAGTTATTACTTTTGTATTGGCCTCCAAAACTTCCACAGATGCTTTCATTCAGCCTTTGATTTGCTTTCTTGCAGATAGTACTTTAACTGCTATGTTACTCCCTCTTCCTAGCAGGTACTTTCCCTCCTGGCACATAGAGGAGATAGGGAGAAAAACCCCAAAACACATAGTGGACTCTGTTCTTTGTCAATCAGGAGTTTCTCTGAACGTACCTTCCCTGTCACCTATTCCCCACCTGGCAAGAATTCAGCATTTGAATCTCACAGGATTCTGACTTCCTATAGGTTCCCAACTATCATACCTATTTGACAAAGTCTTGTTTTTCCCTTTCCTTAAAGAGATGTATTTTCCTCTTGATTGTATATATATAATTGTGGTAAACTATACATAACATAAATTTGCCATCGTAATCTGTGCAATTCAATGGCATTAGGTACATTCACATGTTTACCACCATCACCACCATCCATCACTGACCCAAACTGAAACTCTGCATGTATGTACCACGTTTTGTTTATCTGCTTGGCTCTAATGAATATTTGGGTTGTCTCCTTTCTTTGGTTCTTGTGAAGAGTGCTGCTATGAACATTGGTGTGCAAGTATCTTTTCAGTAGATATCTGTTTACCAGATCGTTTTACCCATGATTTCATCAAGCTATGAAAAATAGTTCTTGAAGTATAAATCTTCTGATATTTACTGGGTAGGAACAAACGGTACATATTTCATTCTTTTCTCTCTGTGTCACCTCTCCTTTGCTACTCTGTTTTCACTGTAAATTTTGAATGTCTTGTTGATAAATGGTCTAAGGAGGTCTAACACCTCCATATAACTCAGTTCTCAGTGCTTGTCTTCCTTGACCCGTTAGCTGCCCTGGAGTCAGTTGATGGACACCACTTCCTTGGAAAACGTCCTTCACTGCAACTTGCAGAATACCTTGCTGCTATGGCTTTCCTCCCATCTACTGGTTGTTCCCTCTGAGGCTCCTTTGCCCAGACCACCTTATCTCCCAATCTCTAAGCCTCAGAGTACCCTTTTCTTTATCTGATCCTAGTTCAGGGCTTTTAAGCACCAGGTATATGCTGATGACACCCAAGTTTATATCTCCAGATCTGACCTCTCCTTTGATCACCAAATTCATATATCCTGGTTGGATATTTAATTAGGTATCTTGAATTTTCTGTTCCTTTCCTCACCACCCTCCCCCCCCCGCCAGACTTGCTCCTTCTGAAGTTTTCCCCTTTTGGTAAATGGCCATTCTGCTCAGAGACCTGTAGCTACTCACCTCACTCAGGTTCAAGGCCAAAGTAGCTGCAATGGCCTACATAGCCCTGCATGGGTGCTCCTCAGTGTAATCGGGGACCCATGTGGGGCTGTGACTGCTGTATCCAGACTGTGAGGAGGTCAGTACAGAAAGGGAGAATAGAGCTTAGATACTTTCACAGCAGTTTGACAGGTGATTTTAGGTCTATTGAATCTAATAAGAAGTTCAGGCTTAGGTTTTAGGTTTTATATATCTTTTTTAATTTGTTTTTTGTTTTTTGTTTTTTTTAGTAATTCAACTGACCGAGCCACCCAGGTGCCCTTTAGGAATTTAATATGCTTTTTAAAAATAGCTTGCAATGGAATAGAAACTTTAAAAAAATAACAGTAGGTCATTTATCAAAGACAGATTGAGAAGTGTTGCTCTTGACAATGTGCCCTGCCTTCCCCTGCTCTGTCTGTGACCTCATCCCCCACCTCTCACCCCTGCCCCTCTGCTGTAGCCATCCCGCCTACCTTGCTCTTCCTCCAACAGTCCGGTCCCGCTTCCCCTCTGTACCTCTTAGAGTAGCTATCTGGCGTTTTTCCTCACTGCCTTCAGTGAGGAAGCCTCGGTGAGGTTTTCCCTGCCCAGCCTCTCAAACAAAAAATGCCACCTGCATCTAGCCCCTGCCTACCCTCTCTCCGCTTTCCACATGGCTTTATTTTTTTCCTTTGCACTTTTCATTATCTAACATGCTATATATTTTACTTATTTATCTTAATCGTCTCTCTACATTAAAATTTTAGCTCCGAGAAGGCAAGGATTGTTACTTGTTTTGTTCACTGGTTTAGCCACAGAATCGAGAAGAGTACCTGGTACATAGTAGGTGCTCAATAAATATTTGTTAAATAATTGGATTCTGAGATGAGATTTACTGTATATATGGAAATTTTACGGGGGACAGGGAAGTACCTTGGAGAAACTGAAAGCTCGAGGCAAATATAAAAATGGGAAAAATCCGAGTTAGCATTTTCAAGTCATTTGGGATGCCCATTTCTTCTCTTTTACAAGGAGGAGGGTTTGCTTAATCTTGCACCATTGCTAGAGCCTTTGAGCAAGTGAAGGTTGACTCTGTTCTTTGCCTTGTTTCTAGGCCCTTCCCCGATTTAACCAGGAAGGAGAAGTATATAAAGCACAGATAATGAATGTGAGCTGGTCAGCTGATCACAGAATTATTGATGGTGCTACAATGTCACGCTTCTCTAATTTGTGGAAATCCTACTTAGAAAACCCAACTTTTATGCTACTTGATCTGAAATGAAGATCGATGGGATATTATTGAACTTTTTGAGCTTCCAAAGAATATGTAGAGCCTAGCTGTGCAACACATGTTCTTCATCACAATTTGTATTAGAAATGATTTGTATTGTATAATTAAGGTTCCAAGGCACAATATTTATCTCTGTTCTGTTAGACATTTTACTGAAAATGAATGATGGTGTAAGAGTTCTCCTGGGGCTGTCACATTTTATAGGTCATGGTATCACTTCTTAATATGGTGCTGAGGTCTTTGTGTCCGTGGGTTGAAACTAGCAAGAACAACAAAATTAATGTTACTAAAAGACAGACTGCCATATCCAGTGTTTACCCTATTTTTTTCTTTTTTTACTTTAGACTGACCTTAATGAAACTTGTCAGTTACACTTAGTTGGGAAAAGGAATTTACATACAGAAGTATCTTCCGTTTCCCCACAATAACACTAACTGTTGTATAAAATAAGTGCAATTACTTAACCTTTTAGGATATCCATGAGGGGCGCCTGGGTGGCTCAGTTGGTTAAACCGCTGCCTTCAGCTCAGGTCATGATCCCAGGGTCCTGGGATCGAGCCCCACATCGGGCTCCCTGCTCATGCAGGAAGGCTGCTTCTCCCTCTGCCTGCCGCTCCCCCTGCTTGTGCTCTCTCCCTCTCTCTCTCTCTCTCGCTATCTCTCTCTGTGTGTCAAATAAAAATCTTAAAAAAAAAAAGGTATCCACGATTATGTTGCTCTGCAGAGATTATCTGTAAATGTCTTTATATAAATATCTTTTAAAAGGGAAAATTTTATGCTAATCTTAAAAATGCCCAATTATAGGGGCGCCTGGGTGGCTCAGTCGTTAAGCATTTGCCTTCAGCTCAGGTCATGATCCCAGGATCCTGGGATCGAGCCCCGCATCGGGCTCCCTGCTCGGTGGGAAGCCTGCTTCTCCTTCTCCCACTCCCCCTGCTTGTGTTCCCTCTCTCGCTATGTCTCTATCTGTCAAATAAGTAAATAAAATATTTTTTAAAATGCCCAACTATAGGGATGCTTGGCTGGCTCATTCGGAAGAACACGCAACTCAATCTCGGGAGTCATGAGTCCAAGCCCGATGTTGGGTGTAGAAGCTACTTAAAAAAAAAAAAAAAAAAAAAGCCCAATTATAGTTTTATAACCAGTAAGGCTATCAAAAGCATTTGTTTAAAATGAATGTACTTTTAGAATTTTGGTAATGTTTTGGTGTTTTGTTAGGAAAAAAATTCACCTTGGCAAACTTGCCTCATGTAAAGAAAGTGCTTTAAATGTAGCAGCCGCTGACATTGTTTTACGTTTAGAAGTCTATTGCCTTTTAACTATTTTTTATCTTTTTTGTCTTTAAAACATAGGATAGGATAATGTATTCCATTCTCCATATCCTGAGAAGGAATATGAATAGAGGAGAGAGAAAAGTCTAATGGGTATTATGGACATTAAAACAATAAATATACAGAAATGAAGGTATCATAATGATCATTTTGTAAGAGGCCCACTTTAATCATAAATAGCATCAAGGTGAATATAATCCAATGTTTTGATTTGCATTCAGAAATCCAGGTTGCTTCTAATGTTGTCTAACTGACTACTGTATGCTCAAGTGAAATTTTGTAACAAAAAAATTGTTTTAAATCTACTCGATTTTTTCAAAATGAGAATCATGTAAATTAGAAAATAATGAGTCAAGTGAATGTTATTTTTAAAATTTAGATAGTACAAGGAGTTACAAAGAAAATAAAATCATCCATAATCATATCACTCTTAATGTTTAGATCAAGGTATCTGTATTTATAGCTATTCTTAAAAAAATGAAATCATGCTATATCTACTATTTTGTAGTTTGATTTTTTAATTTAACATTATGAGTAACTTTACATGTCAATAAATAATTCTACATTATCATACTTTAGATGGCTGCATAATATTCTATTGTGTGTATTTGTTATACATTTGATATTAAACTTCTACTATATACTGAGCATGGTGCTAGGCACTGGGCACAGAATGCCCTCCCTAATGGTCCCTGCCTTCACTGGGTTTACAGTGTAGTTGAGGAGGCAGATACTAAATAATCATAAAGTAAAATATCATTACATGTCTAAGTAGGAAAAAAGAGGGTGCTGTGAGAGCATCTAATAAAGGTTGCTAACCCTTCCTGAGAGGGTTAAGAGAGTATGTACCATAATTTAACCTGTCCCCATTGATGGCATTAGCAGAATTTTAAATGAAGAACAAAATGTTCAGTTGTCTCTCTCTCTTTTTTTTATAAAGGAGATAAAAGTTTATTGAATACACTGCAAGGGAGTGGCAGGCAGGACAGCAGGAAAGAGGCTGTCTGCTTGATTAGTTGTCCCCTAAGGAAGATTCCCCCAAGCCACTCTGGACACTGTCCCTTACATCCTACTGACTAGAACTGTAATTTAGTCATATGGCCACACCTAGTTGCAAAGGAGGCTGGGAAATGAGAGGGCATGTGCTTAGCTAAATATTTGGTTACTAAGGGTAAAGGAGAGAATGGCTGTAAGGGGACAATTGCCATCTCTGCCAATAGAAGATATTTTATCCATTTTATGTTAGTAAAGACTATAATACATTAGGCAATTTCTTCATGTCACACAGCCACGAAAGTGCAAACTGAGGCTCAATCCAGGTAAATCCACTTGCTACTCTATCACATTATGTCTTAACACAACTCTGACCAACTTCTCTGACTTAAGCTAATAAGCAATAGGGAGTAGTAAGAGTAGTAATGGGTTGGGACACTGTCAAGTGAAGGGCCTAATGAAGCCCAGATGTTACTTTATCCTGTTTTAAGTCTTCTCTAAGCTTTCTCAGCAATTGAGAAGGCTGAGTTTCATTTCTATTGTTTTTTCTACTTTTGTCTCCTGGGACATATCATAAGTACCACTACCAAAAAGGTCAAAAATTTGGGATGCCTGGGTGGCTCAGTCGGTTAAGTGGCTGCCTCTGGCTCGGGTTATGATCCCAGGGTCCAGGGATTGAGTGCCACATCGGGCTCCTTGCTCGGTGGGGAGCCTGCTGTCCCCCTGCTTGTGCTCTCTCTCCCTGACAAATAAATTAAATCTTTAAAGGTCAAAAATTTGAGGAGATAAAAATGCAGGGACTACCTGTTGCATTCCATTGTTCAAATTTCTTTCCTTTTCAGCCTGAACCTATATTTTTAAAGTGTAACAGCCAGGGGCTTTTCCACTGCAAGTGACAAATGCCTAATTCTTCCTGGGTTATATTACAAAGGGTACTTGATTCATATTAACTGAAATGCTCAGGGATATCAATTTCAGGTATGGCTGGATCTGGGGACTTAATAAATTCAAGACAGTCTCTATTTCTCTCTGTCTCTGTCTCTATCTCTTCACTCTATCTCTTGGATCTTTTTTGCTTTGTGTTGATTTCATTCTCAAGACAAACTGTCCCAATGTGTTGACAAAGATGCTTAGGAGTACCCAGACTTATATTCCTCAGAACTCACATTGTGTTTCCAGTTAAAATCCCAAGGAGAATTTTGATTGGTCTGGCTTGGTTCATGCCCCTCAATGTGAAGAATACAATACCCTGATTGGCCAGGCTTGAATCTTAACGGTTACCTTTGGAGCCTGGGAATCAGTCAGCGCCATTAACCACATGGACTAAGAAAGGGGATCTGGGAGAATATCTGGGCAGATTAAAAACAAAAAAAGTCAGCTATATGAAGTGAGCCGTTGCCTTCCCGCCCCACCTCATATTACATAATGAATGTTTTCTAAGGGAGCTCTTGAAGAACCTGGGTCAAGAGGAAGCCAAAGAGGTGGAATAGGAAGTGGGAGGTAAATACAGAAGATAATATTAAACTGTGTGATTGTTGGTTGTGATTCCAAGATTTTACAGTATCGCTGACAAAGAATATTTGTATTTTCTGCCTAGTTTTAGTTCAGTGTTAACGAGAAATAATTTCATTCTCAAACCTCAAATGATGCAGTGTTGGTCATTCAACTGATGTCAAAATACAAATTACTAGCTTCAAAATTTTCTATTCATCTAATCGTTCTTAAAGTTCTTGCATGCTAATCTATTTTTACATGCTAATCTATTCACTGGCTTTGATGTTTTACACATATACTGGTGTATTGATTATGGGCAGAAGGAAAAAGTCTAAGTTAGATTTTCAAAGCCCATTTCTATGAAAAAACAAGATGAACAGGATCTTATGGCTTACCATAGGGATAGTTATCAAGAGAAGAAGATAACACATTTCAATTTACCTGACACATCCTGTAAGAGATCGTGGCTGCCAGGTTAGTCTTAAAAGATTCCTTCCAAATTCTGCAGCAAATGCCTCAGCCGTTCTTCACAGTACCTGTGTCAACCTTTTCTGTTCATTTAAGCGCCTGCACAGATGTCTCCCCAGGCCTGTTGTATTAAGCAGATAGCTCCTAATGTCTTCAGAGAAGACAAGGTGATTCAACCCAATGATCTTTCATTTCTCCCCTTTTCACCTCAAAATCTCTATGTTCTCACACTTTCCCTTTGTTTTTCTTTTTGAGGAAGATGTGATTCTCCAGTAAAAATCAAACTTCCTACTCTCTATTATTAATCTCATTTCTTCCTCCTGATCCTTGCTTTATGTTTACTCCATGGCCCTGTTTTGATCTTTTAGTCTCTTCCTCACGTGTAGAACTGTACCAGATGCACTCTTCTGGTACACTGGTTAAGCTTTATTTCTAGTTCCTTACGGAGGAGTTACTAGAGACTGATCCCAGAACTCTCAGCAAATTTACTTTTTTTTTTCTTATTGATGAATGTGTCAGGGTCATGTTGTATGTCCATAAGCCTTTTTCCTTTTCTTTTTGGGCACACAGTTAAATATTTTCCAGCCTAGCGTGCAGTTAGATAGGGCCATGTAATTTATTTCTAGCCGTTGGAATATGGGTAGAAGTGATGTAAACCAGTTCCAAACATAGCCCATAGATCCTCCCAAGAGATCCTCCATACTCCTTCTCTTTCCTTTCCGTAGAAACCCTGAAGCCTTTATGTTGAAGATGGCAGCCACACAAGATGGAAGGAGCCAGCATCTTCAAATGACTTGGTGGCACAAAGCCTCCCCACCACCACACCCCAGCACTGATTGGTTTGGGTGTGATACAGGTGAAATAACTTTTATTGTTTTAAGACACTGATACTTTGAGATTAATCTGCTATTCTTGGTGGTAGTAACCCTAATTCTGAGCTGTCCAATGCAATAGTCACTAGCCACATGTGACTAAATGTAAACTTAAGTTTAAATTCAAATTAATTATTGTGGCTATTAAGCAATTGAAATGTGGCTGGTATAACTGAGAAGCTGAATTTTACTGAATTTTAATTAATTGAAATTTAAATGTAAAGAGCCACATGTGGCTAGTGGCTACCATACTGGACATTGCAGATATAGAATATTTCTATCACCATAGAAAATTCTATTGAATTATGCTGCCCTGATAGAACTGTTCTTATTTTTTTTAAATAATCTCCTGCCCCAAGAAACGCTCTGCTTCACTAAAACTAATTTCCCTCTACCTAAAAGAAGGCTCAAAACATTCCTTTCTTACATTGTTACCTTTACCTGCCAACAAACTCCTGTGCTATCCCTTCCTGCCTTTGCCTACCTTCTTGAATGGGTGGTCTTGAATTCCTTGCAATCTGCCTTCCTTCCCCCACTGCTCACCTGTAATCAGTGTGCTTGGCAAAAATTTGGCCACATCTCTCTTCCAGATGTCTCCTAAATTCTACTCTCTGATCCACCTCTCTCCTGAGCTCTAGGCAACCATTTTTACTCTTTGGCATCTCAAGGTCACCACGTGTTTCAGTGATATCTCATCAGAGGAACCAGGTCAACTCTGAATTATTTATGCCAAACCCTGAGATGGCTCATGTTATTATTGTTATCCCCACAAAATAACCACAGCTCTTTTATGTTCCAGAAGGCAATTACCATTTAGGCAAACACTGAAGGTAGCATGAATCTTTGATGTTTGCAAGCTCAGAATGAAATGGAAATGAATTCATGATGAAGCAATTCCAGTCCCGAGCAGGAGGCTTTAATGACGAGTTAATTCGTGTGCTGGTCAGACTGTTGTGAGAGAACTCTGGGCCAGCTCGCTAAAACTGAGCAGAAGAATTTGGAGACAGTCCAGAGGAGAGCCACAAAACTGAAGCATGACAAGAGTAATTGCAGTTCTGTTATAAAGAGGCCATCTATATCAGGCTTCTACTGAGTATCATGTGGAATGTTACAACACAAAGCATTGGGAACAGCTGTTCTGGGCCTTGACAAGAGACAGGACAGAAGAAATGAGAACAGGTGTAAGATCAAGAATGTAGGCTAGCTAGGGGGCAAAGTCTGGACGGTGAAAGAAAGATTCACGCTTATCCCAGGCTGAGGAGGAGGCCAAGTCCCCTCTGACTGGCAGCCCCGAGGCCTCCACTTACCTGCATTTCCAGAGGAGCCGGCTGACCGTGTTAAACTTTCGGTAAGCTACAGAACTTGAAGTTTGCCCCAGAGGGCTCCTTAATATGTTCCAAATATGTGTTAAATAGTTCTAAAAATGTGGTAAAAAGAAAAGTTAAAAATATCGAGGTTTATAAAGTCTGTACAGAAGTTGCAAGAGTGCAGTGATCTGGAAAAACCTAGCAAATTCATTTCCTGGAAGAAATGAAGCCAGGGTTCAAACTGCAGTAACAAAGGCAACAAAGTTGATGGCAGGTGTAATTAAGTTAATGGAAACTACAGGGATGAATATAAATTAGAATGACTAACAGTTTGAAACATTAGTTATGCAAATGCAACACAGAGGAGTCCATAAGCTAAGTCGCCACACTAATAACTCTTTAAACCAAGGGCGTCGCACATTGCACAAGAACCTGGCTTTGGTCCCATTGTGTTTCTGGCACAAGATTAGAAGGGCCCCGTTGGTTCACATGTTGCTTGGGCAGAGCAGGACAAACTGTCACAGGGATGGCATAATTTTTTAAAACCACCATGGTCATTTACTGCACTCGTTTCTCTAATAAGCTTGTGAAAATTAAAAATATTGATATATAAATGTAATGCATTCTAATTCCGAAAGATTTTTTTTGGTTTTGGTTTGCAATTCTTTATAAATAAAGTGTTTCACAGCTTCTATCTTTACTAGCTATTACAGGTTTAGTAATTGCATAGTGTTTGCGGAAATGTGAAAAAACAATGTTTGTAGTTGCCTCTTAAAATGTCTACAGTATATCCTCAAAAGTTGGGTCAGTATCCTAGAAACAAAATATTGTGTAATTCATGTAGACTTATCCAGTTACAGAGTTTAAAATTCAGTGTAGCTTTTATTTCTGTAGAACTAAAAAATAGTGCATAAAAATAAAAGCAGAAGCAACATATCTTTTTGTTATGTGGCCCAAAATACCTCATTCGACATATAGAAAGCCACTGCAGGGGCGCCTGGGTGGCTCAGTCGTTAAGCGTCTGCCTTCGGCTCAGGTCATGATTCCAGGGTCCTGGGATCGAGCCCCGCATCAGGCTGCCTGCTCAGTGGGAGGGCTGCTTCTTTCTCTCCCACTCCCCCTGCTTGTGTTCCCACTCTCTCTGTCAAATGAATAAATAAAATCTTAAAAAAAAAAAAGAAAGAAAGCCAGTGCAAATTTGTGTCATTATTTGGTGGTATTCTTTGTTTTCTTTTTTCCTTTAATTTCTTTCCTTTTCTTTTTTTTAAAGTAATCTCTACACCCAGCCTGAGGCTCGAACTCATGACCCCAAGATCGAGAGTTGCATGGTGTACCAACTGAGCCAGCCAGGTACCCCTGTTTTGTTTTTTCCTTTTGAAACAAACTGTAATGACTTTTATTCTGTAGTCCTCTCATTTGAGATTTAAATTGCCCTAGAATGTTGCATAATATTCTGATTACCGCTGCTTAGGTTTTATATTTCATGTAAGAATATGGCACCAACTTATTCCTAAGAGGAATTATGTTTTGGTCACTTGTATTTTGCTTGCTAAATAACATATTGGTTACTTAGACTCACGGAATGCTTTTCTCAAATGAAGATTTTGAAATCATTTCCAATGACCTTCTAATTTCTGGCCAATTCCTAGTAGGCTATCGAATAAATGATTTTCATACACTAATTCTTGTGTCTCCACTGTTGATTGGTTTAGGGAAATGATGTGTGTGTATATCAGAAATGAAACCAGTGCAAAAAGTATTTTGCACTGTTTTCATTCCTCGTTAAATATATTAACTTTTGGTTATAAAACACATAGTTAATAATAGAAAAAAGAAATAATTAGCTAAAATTAAATATTTTTCTCAGCCAATTTAGTAACTTAGATATTTAAGTTATTAGAGACTGAAAGTCTGTGGGGTCATGTGGCCAAAGTCATGTGAGACCAGCTAGAACCTGAGAACTTGAGCTCCAAGGTAAAGGTATTTGGTGTCTAACAGTGTTTCCTATCATCTCCTGAACAAATGTCCCTGTTTTGTCAGACCAAGTGATGCAAGTTAGTATGTAGCCACAACTTCCTAATATAAGTATCAAAATGTGGAAAACAGTGACTCCCTAATATTTGGCAAGTATGTTGTCTATTATTTAGGAGTTTCTCTTTCCTTGTGTACACACACACACACACACACACACACACACATACAACCTTAATGGAACATTTTCACATAAAAGAATATCAGTGTTCCAGAAAATTCTACAGCTAAACAAATCACTTTTAAAATATTCTTAAGTCTTTAAACTAATCAAAGTGCAATTACAGAGGCTTCAAATTCTATCTTTGAAAGAGAATGCTTAACATTGAAAAATTATTGATCTGATGAGGGCAAGTCTCCTATTTATGTTTCTTGGAACTCTAGTTACATAGTGTTTCTGCTTCAAAGCCTTCCATTCTGAAAAATAACAGTTTGTTTTATTAAAAGACTCTAGGGAGTCATAAAAAGAGCATTACAGATCAAAATCCCGAGGTCATATACTCTTATTTTCCACTGTTTTTCCCTATGTTCCTTTTTTTTCTCTTGTTCTTATTTGAATAAATGGGTCACACAAAGTAGATGCTTGTATGCTTGACAGGATTACTTATAGTACTGTAGTCTTGTCAGAATTTATGGGAAGAAGCTTGACTAAATGATCATTAGTTCTATTGTTCTATTACACTTTGTAAAAGATAATGCTCAGGGTGCCTGGCTGGCTCAGTCGGAAGAGCATGTGACTCTTGATCTCAGGATTGTGAGTTTGAGCCCCATGTTAGTGTAGAGGTTATGTAAAATAAATAAATAAACAAACAGACAAACTTTAAAAAACTTCTAAAAAATCATGCTTTTAAAAAACAGAGTAATAACTATCTTAGTATTTTGTGTTTAAAAACCATTATCTTTCTCTAAATATATGCCTAGGTATTAACACAGGTTATGATGGAATAGAGTGAAAAGGAAATGGAGCTATTTATGTAGCCTGAATCTCAGTCCCCGGCTACTTTTACCTCTCTTCCTCCCTACCTCCATTCACTGCCTCTCTAAAGATGCATTAAGCAATAATAAAAATTGCTTTGATGTTTTTGGTGTCCACCTACCAATGTAATTTTCTGTAACTGCCATAAACTTATTATTTTTAAAAAGATTTTATTTTTATTTATTTGACAGAGACACAGCGAGAGAGGGAACACAAGCAGGGGGAGTGGGAGAGGGAGAAGCAGGCTTCCCGCTGAGCAGGGAGCCCAATGTGGGGCTCGATCCCCGGACCCTGGGATCATGACCCAAGCCAAAGGCAGACGCTTAACGAATGAGCCACCCAGGCGCCCCGCCATAAACTGATTTTTAAAAGGAAGCAGTATAACCCAGTGGTCAAGGTCTAGGAGTCAGATCCATCTGAGTTGGAATTTAGCTCAGCTATTTTCCAGCTGGATAGCTTTGATACGTCCCTTACTCTCTTTAAACTTTGGTTTCTTTTGTGCATTAAATAGGGATGCCTACTGTGATGGTTAATTTTATGTGTGAACTTGACTGGGATACCTAGACATTTGCCAAACATTATTCTGGGTGTGTCTGCCATGGTGTTTCTGGATGAGATTAACATTTGAATCCATAGACTGAGGAAAGCAGATTGCCCTCCCCACTGCGGGTGGCATTATCCAATCAACTGAAGGCCTGACTAAAATAAAAAGGTGATACCCTTTTCTTTCTTGTAATGTGGTATCATGCGCATTTCCTCATATCATGAACCACCTTTCTACTTTCAGTTTCTATGATTTTGACTAGCTATTTCCTATGAGTAGAATATACAGATTGTCCTCTTGTGATTGTTTTATTTCACATAGCATAATGTTCTCGAGTTTCATCCATGTTGTAGTGTGTGACATTATTTCCCTTTTTTAAAGGATGCGTAATATTCCATTGTATGTATATACATTTTCTTTATCCATTCATCTGTCAATGGATGTTTTGGTTGCTTCTATCTCTTGGCTATTGTAAATAATGAAGCAATGAACATGGGTGTGCAAATATCTCTGAGATCCTGCTTGAGTTCTTTTGAATGACATTGTATTGGTAATGTGCTTTTATATACCCCCTTTTACCTGGCCATCCCACTAGTTGCTCTTCTACGTTTGTTTGCTTTTTCTAAACACAAGCGCTGCAATTGTACTCAGTCAGGGCCATGGATTCTGATGAACAATATCCCGGTGGGACCTCAGAATGCAAACCTCGGCACCAAGCACCTGGCACACACACAATGATAGAAGGAAAAGATAAACCAATTTGTGTAGCATTATTAAATGAAATACCTAACTTTGTGTGAAGAATGAAGCCATTTAAGATGAGCTCATTTACCTTGCCTCCACTGTAAAATTACCTTCTCCTTGATTTCTGTCTTCATGTCAGAAGAAAACCCTTTCAGAGTTAGCTAACCTTCTTCCTATGATCATATGGCAAACATTTCCATTCCCATCTTCCCCTTTCTTGGCTTTACTGTTAGAGGGTAGTAATAAGAACTAACCTTTATTGAGTACTTACTCCTCTCAGGCACTGGTCCAAGCTCTTTTGTATGTTAACTCATTTAATCCTCACAAAAGCCCATGAAGAGCTCCTATTTTTATCTACATTTTGCCAATAAGAAACTGAGGCACTGAGAGATTAAGTGACTTTTCCAAGGATATTCAGGTATATAAAGATATAGGCCAGGCTTATGGCAGACAGGATGGAGGTGACCTTAGGGCAGCACTTGGAAGACACAATGAAGAATCTATCCATTGTTGGGGTCCTATGCACAGATTTACAAGGAGTTGATCTGGGCTACCATGGGCCCTGTCAGATGAGCATGCTGGGGTGATATCTGTTCTAGCCCAGCAAGCAGCTAAGTTAACCTCAGACCCCACTGACATTCCTGTGGTTGTCAAGGATCAGATCATGTAACCTTTTGATCCAGGAACATGATAGCATCATAGTAGTGGTGCACAAAATGGCCTGTTGACATCTCATATCAGTTCTCCAGCAGCCTGTCATAGGGGTTCAATCCTACCTATGTTAATTATCTTATAGAACGATGAAAGTTCCAGCAGTTAGGCCATTTGTTTATGTGCATTGGGCAATTTTCTATTAATTTTGGAATAAGCTTCTTTGGGACACTCAACGGATTGACTTATCAAAATATTAGTAAGAAAGGACCATGTTTTGAAACATGGTTCAGGTCATTTGGTTTATAGAATTTTGTTATGTTCAATAAATCTGGTTGGAGGAAGAGAAAAGTATATAAAAATACAGTGGTAGGTACACAGAAAATTAAACAAATAAAAAAGTACACTTTACAGAAAAAAACAAAAAGTACAAAAGGAAAGGAATGTAATTATTTCTATTATTTGGATCAACTATGAATAATATTTACATAATAAACACTACTGATTTAACAAAAATTATGACAACTATATTGGGAGGATGAGAGGAGGGGAGGTATACGATAGTGAGTAGGTGGTTTAAGACCACAGAACTTTCATCTTCTTTTTTTTTTTTTAAGATTTTATTTATTCATTTGACAGAGAGAGAGACAGTGAGAGAGGGAACACAAGCAGGGGGAGTGGGAGAGGGAGAAGCAGGCTTCCTGCTGAGTGGGGAGCCCGATGCGGGGCTTGATCCCAAGACCCCAGGATCATGACCTGAGCTGAAGGCAGATGCTTAACAACTGAGCCACCCAGGTGCCCCAGAATTTGCATCTTCTATGTATGAAGTCAATAGATGGCTCTGAAATTGGTACATGAAGAAATAGCAATATAAGCATATTTTTGGAAATAAAACAAGAAAGAGTTAAAATAGTTGTGTCAGTTTCTTAGATCCAGATGACAGGATTCTGCCAGGCATGTTTAAGTAAGAGGGAATCTTAGTTCATAGAACAAGTCCTGGAACTATCCCACAGAACTGGCCTGGGAAGGGAGCTGCTATGGCTGCCCCCAGAACCAGCTGCATCCACTGAGGTCAGGAAACTCAATCTGCTAAAACTAACCCCAGAATATATTGCGTCTGCTGTACTTAAACCAGCAAAAATGGACTCTAGCCACCCAGCTGATTTCTTCACATTCTTTGCTTCTAAATCAAAGTACATGAACCTTACTCATATTCCCCAATTCTGTAGCAAGGGAGGCTGAGATTTTCCCCCTAATTCTCCTTTGGTAAAGTGGGGTTCACTAATGGAGGATTGTCAAACTATGGAGAGGGCACTATATAGTGTCTTGTCTCTTCCTTCTCTCACATGCCATGTCCCCAAATCACTGAAATTCTGTCTAAAATCCTTCATAAGTGGTTCATAAATCTATTCACTTTTTTCTACTTTCCCTGCCATTTCTCTAGAATAAGTCACATCAACAGTTTCTCAGTTGGTCTCACTTTGTATGGTATTGCCTGAGACCATGGGAAATAAGAAGCTAGAAGAGGGAAAGAGAGAGCCTTGGGATTTGTGGGTTTTCTAGAAATACTACCAAATTAAAATTTAATTGTAGACAGTGCCAAAGGCAAAAATACATCTAAATTATTTCCAAAGAGACAATTTAGTACTTTTCTTAACCAAAACAAAACTCCTCCCTGCACCTTCAGGTTGCCTTATGAACATATTTAGGAAAGCCATGTGGTGTGGGGTGGTGCAAACTCTCTGGACAGGGAGGTTAGAGTTCAGGTTCTGTGACCTTCTTTACTCTTTCTATGGTCTTGAGCAGCCCCATAGCTCTCTGAGCTAATTTGTTATAGAAGCATTAAAGAATTTCTATGGAATAATCAGGCATTTAAAAACACTAAAATTGCCAAAGTGTCCAAGTGGCTAAACAAATTATGATCCACCTACACACCAAAATGCTATGTAGTCATTAAAAAGAATGATGTAACTCTAAATATACTAATATGAAAAATTTTCCAATATATTCTGAGTGAAGAAAACACAGTATAGAAAAATATATGTAGTATGCTAGCATTGTGTATGTCTGTGAATGTCACTGTGTGTGTGCTTTTAATGGATATAGGCATATTTATGTTTGTAAATTCACACACCGTCTTTGGAAGGGCACACAAAAAGTGGCAACAGTGATTGCCTTCAGTTAGGAGAACTAAATGGCTGGAGGTGGGGTTAGGTGGGGATTCAGTATCTTTTGAATTTTGTTTTTGTACTTACATTACCAATTCAAAGACTAAATACAGGGCTGCCTACGTGGCTCAGTTGGTTGAGCATCTGACTCTTCATCTCAGCTCAGGTCTTGATCTCAGGATTGTGAGTTCAAGCCCTGTGTTGGGCTCCATGCTGGGTGTGAGGCCTACCTAAAATAAATAAATAAATAAAATGTATAGCATTAAAAAACAAAAGACAAAAAAACAAAAAATAAATGCAGATTTTTTTAAAGAACCTGGAATTAACTCCTATCTATGAAGGCTGAAGAGATAAAGAATGAGAGAATTAAATTTGAGGCCTGGGTGCAGCGGGAGCTTGGAGCTTCTCTGTTGCCCGTACTTATCTACATCTTCACTTTTCTTATTTTGTGAAGCATTTTACCTTTAGTTTAAATATTTACAGATCTATGGTTTACCAAGTAGGGTTTTTGTTATGCCATAAAAAAATTCTCTCATATTTTCAAGTTTCTCTGCTTGGAATAGATGCATTATATTCTATTAAATATGCAAAATGTGTAAGTCATGAAAAGTGGAAGGACTTCAATAGGTTTTTTTTTTTCAGGAGTCTAGAACTAGTTATGCCTGAGAGTTTGTTTTTTTCTTCTTTTAAAGATTTTACTTATTTATTTGACAGAGAAAGAGACACAGCAAGAGGGGGAACACAAGCAGGGGGAGTGGGAGAGGGAGAAGCAGGCTTCCCGCTGAGCAGGGAGCCCGATATGGGGCTCCATCCCAGGACCCCAGCATCATGACCTGAGCCGAAGGCAGACACTTAATGACTGAGCCACCCAGGCGCCCCTGCCTGAGAGTTTTATAATGCCTGTACGCAGCACTTGCAGTGGGCAAAATGCATGCACATACGTTATCTATCACTTGATCCTTTGCACAGGAGCTCCATGTGATACTTGCTATTCTCAGCTTTGTCCAAGATCTAAAATTAGAATTAGGCTCACATTACATTTCACTTGATTACAAGTCTGACTGAGGATTTTAATCATCCCGGAGCCACACTGAAAACAATTCTCCCTGAAATCCTCTCTCAGCTGGTAGTCACTAACTTTGGGCATGTTAGCTTCTGCATCCACTGACAGTGGTAAGTGTTTTTCAAAAACATTTTTTCCCCATTCTTCACATAGAAAGAGGTTGCTGATGATGACTTCACTGTGTCTGAATTTGCTGGAATGTACAACTGAATTTGGAATTGAATTTAAAAGTCTCTTGTGGGGTTTCATAGTCATGCGTGTAATTGTTTTCCTCTGGAATACTGCTTTCCCTCAAAGTTAAGAAGCATTTTTTTGTTTGTTTTTGGGTTTGTTTGGGTTTCTTTTTTCCTTTCTTTCTTTTGCCTTCAGAAAGCAGACTCTCCGGGGTATGTCCTTGCCAAACTATGTGCTTTTCTGTTATCTAATCAAGGTAGAGAACACAATTCTGTGTTGGAGGTAGAAATATATATATCATTATTGACTTGTTTTCCTTGAAGGGAAATTGGTCACTGTTATAGGAAAGCTGATGGCTGAATGAAGTTCAGTGGCAAACTGAGGAACCCAATGAGCATATGAATGGTTATATATGTTTAAAAAAATACACATTTACATGTACATACTTGGGATTTTTAAAAATGTTTTATTATGTGATAAACACTTCAAACTTGCTAAAATCTGAGGCAATAAATTGTAGGTTGACTGTGATGTCCCCAGGGGTTTGTATGTATCCCAAGGTTTCTTGATGGCAAAAAGACCTTGCAGTCCATTTCTGTGGAAATTGTGCATGCTTTGCTTAAAAATAGAAACTGTTTCCTCCTAATTTTCTGCATTGGCAATTATATATCCATCCTAACATTTTAAACATTTTTGTCCTCTGTAATACAGTTATTCTGCCACCCCCTTTCTGTCTCTGTCTCTCTCCCCCACTGCATACTTTTAAGGAAATCAATACTTTAGAGAAGATTAATAATGAAAAGCAATATTCTCTACCCCATTTCTCTTTATCACTCTAGAAGTAAGCATTTTAACCATTTCAGGATTTAGTCTTCGGTGGTTATCTCCATAGTTCCTGTTTTGTTTTGTATTTTTTCAAAGGTGGTTATTATTTCTTATCAACTTTAGGCATTATCTATGGAACTTCATTGTGAAAGATGATGCTTAAGTTCACTTACACCTCCATAGAGTTATATCCTTATTTTTAGTTTCTCCCTTGATTACCTTTGTAACTTGAAACAAATGCTTCAATATCTAGTTCTCATTCCACAAAATACAGTGTCTATGACTCCCCACTTTGAAGATGTGGCTACTAGTGTTCTTTCCTTCTACTTCCGCATCTCCTTCTTCCACATTCTATTAAAGTATTTATTTTTATATTTTCAAGATGTATTATACATATTACATTCTGTTCTTTAGCCATAAATAAGTTGTCCTTGCTTTTTTATAGGTTGATTTATTTAAAAAGTTGATTTCCATCACTCAAAAAGAAACTGCACTTTAGCAGTCACTCCCTCTTTCGCCCTCTGGAAAGCCCCTGGATATCACTAATCTACTGGTTTTTCTCTATGGATCTACCTATTCGGGACATTTCATATAAATGGGATCATACATGGTCTTTTGTGTCTGGCTTCTTTCACTTAGCACACTTCATTCAAAGTTTATCCATGATGTAACGTGTATCAGTACTTACTCCTTTTTATGGCTGAATAATATTCAATTGTATGGATATACCACATTTTGTTTATCCATTTGTCAGTTGACAGCCAGTTGTTTCCACTTTTTGGCTATTGTGAATACTACTACTTCAACATTCAGGTAGAAGTTTTCGTGTGAACATGTTTTTATTTCTCTTGGGTATAAATCTAGGTGTGGATCTTTTTCTATTTTATACTTTCTATTTTTTCCTCTTTTTATGCTAGGAATACCTCTTATAAACAATACACGGGATTTTTGTCTTTTATTTGGACAATCTTTGTGTATTAACTTGCAGCACTTAGTAATCAGGGAAGTATAAATTTGTCACCATAATGAGATTTTATGCAGTAGTTTGTTAGAAGGAGGTACATCAGTGGAGACCCTTATACAGTTGTAGTAAGAGTACAAGTGGGCACAATCACTTAGGAAAACAATTTGGCTCTATCTTCTAAATTTGAACATTCACATATATTATGATCCAGCAGTTCTAGTTCTAGGTATAGACCCAATAGAAGCAATACCACTTGAGCACCATGAAGATGAGGACAAGAATTTTGGAAATAATATTGCTCATAATAGCAAAACTCTGGTACCCAAATACCCATATTCACTGGGACAGAAAAATTAAATTATGACATAGCATACATTTTGGAGATCGTGGCATGTCAGTATATGAAATGTTTTACTTTATGGAGCTATATAATTTCCCATGATATGGATGTACTATAATTTACTGATCAAAAGTTATACTGTGGGATGCCTGAGCAGCTCAGTCATTTAAGCATCTGCCTTCGGCTCAGGTCATGGTCCCAGGGTCCTGAGATCGAGTCCCACATAGGGCTCCCTGCTTGGCCGGGAGCCTGCTTCTCCCTCTCCCTCTGCCTGCTGCTCCCCCTGCTTGTGCTCTCTCTCTGACAAATAAATAAAATCTTTTAAAAAAAAGTTACATTGTTCCAGTCTTTTGCTTCTATGAAAAACATTGCAGTGAATAACTTTATAATATGTAATTTTAAGATTGAAAATATTTGCAATGTAAATTCCTACGAGTATGAATGTACACTTATAAGACTGATGGACATTACCAAATTTCTCTCCATAGAGAACAAATACTACCACCTTTAGTGTATGAGAGTACCTGTTTCCCTACACTGTTGCAAATTGCACTTCTTCTTTTCCAAACTTTATACCTTTCTATTTACTTCCTTTGCCTTGTAGTCGTTCCAGTATAATGTTGAATAGTTGTGATTGTGGACATCTTTGACTTCCTGAATTTGGGAAGAAATAATTCAATTAATTGTGAGTCAAATTCTTTCACTATTACCAATACAATTTGATGAGAAATCATTACAATTATTTGTAAGGCAAAGAACATTCCATCAAATGGATCTACTATAATTTACATAACCATTCCCCTATTTGTACTGTCCTTTCCTTTTTGAGATTCAGGTCACAATCCTCAGTATTACACCTGCCCATTGATGATGTATTTTACAAGAGCAAATAATCCCAGCATTCTGCCAGTTAACCAAGTTCCAGCCTATGCATATAGCATCTAGACTAAGTAGATAACCCCAAATGCTGGTCTTAAATGTATATATCCATTATTTAATCATTTTCCTAAACTGGGCATGTAAACTAGTTGCAGTTTTTCATTATTGTCAATTACATAGTGGCAATGGAAGTAGACTTGGCTTCACTTTCCACCTCTGTCACATACTAGACATGAGACCTTGAACAAATTGCCCATCTTTTTTAAGGCTCAATTTCTCATCTGTACATTACACACAATAAAAGCACCCATGGCAGGGTGCCTGGGTGGCTCAGTGAGTTAAGCGTCTGCCTTCAGCTCAGGTCATGATCCTGGGGTCTTGGGATCGAGTCCCACATCAGGCTCCCTGCTAAGCGGGGAGCCTGCTACTCCTCCCTCTGCCCCCTGTTCGTTCTCCCCCACTCATGCTCTCTCTCTCAAATAAATAAATAAAATCTTTAAAGAAAAAAAAATGCATCCATGGCATAGTATTTTTATGAGGATTATTAAGTGAGAGATGACATGTAAAGTGTATAAAAATAGTCTTGGCAACATGGAAAGTGTTCAATAAATATAAGCTATTATGATCATTTCTGGATTCAGTGAACATTCTGAAACACATTTTTTTCTCCATTACAATTAGGTCCTTTTTGAGATGGCCTCTGTGATTCAGCTATTCAGAACCTAATGAAGTTGGTGACTCTGTGACAATGTGGAGAAATCATGTCAGAAAATGCAGTTTGTACTGGGGCTGTCAATGCTGTGAAGGAAGTTTGGGAAGAAAGAATAAAGAAACACAATGAAGACCTGAAGCGAGAGAAGGAATTTCAACAGAAGTATGCTTTAACATGTTTGTTATTTTGATTTAGTGAAAATTCAAAATATCATCGTTATAGAAAAGAGCACTTATTAAATGACTTATTGTTGAATTTGATATTTTTATTTAGTGAAAACTCAAAATATAACTAAAGGATACACCCAATTCAATTAAGTATGGCTATGTGAGGGTGGCCACAAAAAATACAAGTGTCTGTATGTGAAAATAGTAGTTATTTTCAGGCCCTCATAGGAGTCAGTTCAACATTCCTCAAAGTTTGATTAGTGTCTTTTAGTCCACTTTTCAGTGATTGCTCGTTCAGTATTATATCCCGTAGATACTAAAGCAACATCTGGCAATAGAAGGTACTAGAGATTCTCACCTATTTGAACAGCTGTGAGTTTCAGCCAGGGTCCCTGTGGATCGCCTGATTCCTTGATTTGGGCTATACTTAAATAGCTTGGCTCTCATTTCCTCTGCCTTCTGGATATCTCCCTATTTTCCTGATTGGATGTCTCCAAAGTATTCTATTAGTCTTGCAAGAAGAGCCACTTTCCTCATGGATCCCTATGATTCTCATTCACCAGGTCTCTTTCTAAATATTAAATTGTCTTTTTGTCTTACAACATATATAAATATTGGACCATTAATAATGTTATATGTCAATTATATCTCAGTGGAAAAAATGCTCCTGTGTCAGTTAACAAGTACCATAAAATTCAACTAAGAATGGCGTAAGGACTAGGGAAGCCCTGAAATAAGGCAATCCCAAAGCCTGAAGAGCTTTAAAGACTTGGTTTCTTTTTATCACCTTCTACTGCTGATCTCAGTGTGTCAGTTTGGTCCTCAGGTTCCCACTGTGAGTGTCACAGGATGGCTGGTCCACTTCCAGCATCACAGCTAGCATCATTATGTTATCAGAAGAGTGGAAATGATTTCTGTTTCTTCAAGAATGAGGAAGCCTTTCTGAGGCGCTTTAGCAAACCTCTCCCTCAGCTCTCATTGACTGGAACTGGGTCATTTGGACTCCCTTAATCCAGTCCCCTTCTAGGGGAATGAGACTGTATGATTGGTTTAAACAAATTAAGATTTATACCTCGGTTACTTGGGGGGAGTACAAATGCTTGAAGATAACAGCTATTCTCCCAGTAAAGAAGAGGGGCAAAGGTTCTTGATCAGCAATCATTTTGTGTCTGCTCTCTGTAAAAATAAAAATCTGGATGGGAGGGGCCATTCTTTCCAACCAAAGCCAATAAAAAGGATAATGATGCTGACAGTGAAGAGGGTAGCAGCCATTTATTGTGCACCTACTGTTTACTAGGCACTCTAAGTGCTTTATTTGTACATCTCATTTAATCCTCTCAACACACTGAAAACAGTGTCTTGATGAGGATTATTTTGCATTATGAGAGAAGGAAAACCAAAATAATGTTTTCTTTTTTAAAAAATTTAAAAATGATTTATTTATTTGAGATAGAGGGGGGAAGGGGTAAAGGACAGAGGAAGAGGGAGGAAGAGAATCCCAAGCAGACTCCTCGCTGAGCAAGGGAGCCGGATGCGGGGCTTGATCTCACGACTCTAAGGTCATGGCCTGAGCTGAAATTAAGAGTCAGATGCATAACTGACTGAGCCACCCCAGTGACCCCAAAATAATATTTTCTAAACAAGATATGTTAACTTTTTAGTCAGATAACTTTTGAGTCAGATACTCAGGCTTTTATCTTGTTGCTCAACTGTGCATGGCTTCCATTCCTAAAGTCACTTAATGGCCCCAAATGATACACCAATTGCAGCCAACATATTTGATCCCAGCTAGCAGGAAGTTGCACACACTCTTAATTCTGTTAACATCCCAGTTATATGAATCATATCTAACTCCAAGGGAGGATGACTAAATGAAGTCTTGGGCCCAGTTAAATTTAGAGACTCTATTATTGAGGAAGAAGAGGAATATCAGTCTCTGGCACACATGAGTGTTCATTTTCTCCCTTTTAAAGATGGAAAACCTGAGGGATAGGTCTAAGTAACTTGTCAAAGATCACACTGCTAATAAATGTGGAACTGGTATTCATACCCATGCAGTCTGATTCAGGAGGCATGATATTCACCTTAGGTCTTTCCCTAGATTGGTCCTTTATATATAAAGCTACTCTTATGAAATCTATTATGTTTGTATTCTGCAGTAATGATAAACTTGACTCCAGAGGACTCTTAATAAATCCTATCCCTTTTTTAAACAGTGGGCAGGGCAGGAATCCTGACTTGCTTCTAAACTCCTGAACTTCGCCTATTACACATGTTTAGTTAAGAACCATTTAATTGGGGCACCTGGGTGGCTCAGTCAGTTGGGCATCCAATTCTTGATTTTGGTGCAGGTCACGATCTCACAGTTATGGGATCTAGTCCCTCATCGACTCTGCTTGAGATTCTCCCTCTCCCTCTGCCCTCCGCTGCCCCTCATGTGCACACACTCTCTCTCAAGTAAATAAATAAATAAGTAAAGTCTTTAAAAAGAAAAGAATAATTTCAGTAGCTTCACATTCTCTCTCTACAAGATAGGCAAGGGATAGAAAAGGTTAAGGATGTAAACTAATGCTGCTTTTCTTGGCTAAAGGTGGCTAAAGATTTATTTCAAAAAGCCTAAAGTTTAAACAGAAATTGACCCCATTGTCTTTTGATGCCAAGCTGTCCTGAAGAAATCAAGCACTTGGGTAAGAGTTGGTGTGGCAAAATCTGGGAAAGCCTTTAGACTATAATAAGAGGGTTTCATAGGAGTTAGAAAATTTCTATTTAAAATTGAAAGAACATCAAGCTTAGACTAAATAATGGATGAATTACAGAACACTAGAGCTGGAAGAGACCTTAGACATTATTTAATCCAAAACCCATTTTAATAGGTAAGGCCCACAGAGGTGGTATGAATTGCCCATGGTCACCAAGTTAAGTGATACATTCTGGACTTAGATCATAGAAATTTAGATCCAGAAAGAATTTAGGAATCATTATAGAGATGGAAAGAGACTAGTTGAGTAATAGCCTCACTGTAAACTTTTTGCATGCACAATGTGCAGCATAGCATTTGGCATAAAATGGTTGCTTGATGAATTCTTTAAGTAAAAGTTTAGGAATAAGACATCTAATTGCACTTGTCATTAAATCTTGTTCTGAAATACATAGATCTTTTTGGCAAGTGACTATTCAAATTAATTAAACCTATGTTCTTTGATAACTGCTTATATTTCTTTATTATGTATCATTCTAAGAGGCTAAAATTGAGAAGATTTCAATTCTAAACTTAATCTTTCTCATTTCTCATACATTAAAAATTTTCTAGTGTAGAACTAAAAAAAATTTTTTGCAACCTTTTACTAGTCATTTTCATAGCTTGATATTATTCTTATGTATGTTTGCAATGAACCAAACATCAATAGGAATGTGTTTCAGAATAACAAAGGTTTTATGCATTTTTATATCTGAAAAATGAAATCTGAATAAAATTGGAATATAATCATATAACTTAACTCTGAAGTTGAACTGTATTATTTGCAAGTCATTATAAAGTTATTAACTATCTATGGATTAGATGTCTAATAAATGCAAGTCGAAAGGACAGTGAGATACCACTCTCACGCTCACTAGGATAGCTATGATTCAAACCATGGATAATAAAAGTAGTCAAGGATATGGAGAAATCAGAAACCTCATGTGCTGCTGGAGGGAAGGTAAAATGGTACAAGCAATTTGGACACAGTTTAGTAGTTCCTAAAAAAAAAAAAGTTAAAAATACAGTTACAATAGGATGCAGCAATTCTACTCCTAGGACTATACCCAAATTAAAGGAAAACATGTCTGCATAAAAACTTGTTCACAAATGTTCATAGTAGCATTATTCATAATAGCCAATAAGTGGGATTAACCCAAATGTCCATCAGCTGATGAACAGATAAACAAAATGTGGTATATTCATGCAATGGAAGATGATTCTTCTATAAAAGGGAATATAGTACTGAAACATGTTACAGCATGGGTGAACTCTGAATAAACTTACACTATGTGGAAAGACCATGTATTGTATAATCCCATTTATATGAAATGTCCAGAATAGGCAAATTCATAGAGATAGAAAGTAGATCAGTGGTTACCAGGGGCTGGGAAAGGGAGGAATGGGTATGGCTTTTTATTTTATTTTTTAAAGTTTTTAATTTAATTCCAGTTAGTTAACATACAGTGTTGTATGAGTTTATGGTGTACAATATAGTAATTTCATCAATTCCTTACAACACACAGTGCTCATCACAAGTGCACTCCTTAATCCCCATCATCTATTTAACCCATCCCCCACCCACCTCCCCTCTGGGAACCATCAGTTTGTTCTCTGTGGTTAAAAATCTTTTTCTTGGTTTGCCTCTCTCTCTCTCTCCCCCAGCCTTTGCACATTTGTTTCTGAAATTCCACATATGAGTGAAATCATATGCTATTTGTCTTTCTCTGACTTATTTCGCTTTAGCATAATATTCTCTAGCTCCATCCATATTGCTGCAAATGGCAAGATTTCATTCTTTTTTATGGCTGATATCCCATATATATGTGTGTGTGTGTGTATATATATATACACATTGTTTATGTATATACATATATATGCATCTGTACATATACATACATGTATATATGTGTATATACATGTATTACCACATCTGCTTTATCCATTCATCAGTTCATGGACACTTGGGCTGTTTCCAAAATTTGGCTGTTGTAGATAATGCTGTCCTTTGAATTGGTATTTTGTATTTCTTGGGTAAATACTTAGTAGAGCAATTGCTGGATTGTAGGGTAGCTCTATTTTTAACTTTTTGAGGAAACTCCATACTGTTTTCTAGAGTGGCTGCACCAGTTTGCACTGGGTGTGGAGTTTTTTTGAATGATGAAAATGTTTTGGATCTGATAGTGGTGATAGTTGAGCCAACTCTGTGAATATATCCAAAACCATTGAATTGTATACTTTAAAAGATTAATTTTATGGTATGTGAATTATGTATAATTCAATAAAGCTATTAGTTAAATCTATGGAGAGTTATGACACTTTTCAAAACTTAAATATAGGGCTTTATGATTCCAATCATATTTATAATTCTTACAAAACAACTTCTTTTCTGATTTCCAGATACTATCGATCAAATGGTAGTTGGTTTTTTTTTTTTAAGATTTTTATTTTATTTATTTGACAGAGAGAGAGAATGCGAGAGAGGGAACACAAGCAGGGGGAGTGGGAGAGGGAGAAGCAGGCTTCCCGCTGAGCAGGGAGCCCGATGCAGGGCTCGATCCCAGGACCCTGGGATCATGACCTGAACCAAAGGCAGATGCTTAATGACTGAGCCACCCAGGTGCCCCGATCAAATGGTTGTTTTTGATGGATCACTTTTTATATAAAAGTGAATGCTACCTATGTATGTCATTACTGGTGATCTAAAATGTTGTCTGCTCTCTTAGGCTAGTGAGGATCTGGGAAGAACGAGTAAGCTTAACCAAGCTAAAAGAAAAGGTCATCAGGGAAGATGGAAGAGTCATTTTGAAGATAGAGAAAGAGGAATGGAAGGTAAGCTTCATAGAAGTAATATTTGATTTTCTGTATTTTACGTTTTGTGGGAGAGTTGAGAAAATGATTCTGAGACTGTGTGATTTAAGTCCAGAATAGTTAGAAATTCTAATTTTAATAATACACCAAATGAATTTGGGCAACATGAACAACTGAAAAGAAATATAACTTCACATTTTTTTGGTAAAAGCTCAATTTTCTTCAACTCTGCCTAAACAAGTCATTTGCATTTTTTTCTCCTACTAATCCTACTAGTAAGCAACTTCTCATTTCCGTAAAAAAGATGACCATCTGCCTGACAAAAATCATACAGCTTTTCCAAACAAATGCCCAGCTATAAGTCCACAAAATGGAATAGGATATTCATTTTTTTTGAGGGCTACTACCTGATTCATACTCTCTCTCATGAATACACACACACACACACACACAGAGTTGCTTAATTACATTAGGCATGCTCTAATTTTTATAAGGGTATCTATACCTTGGGTCAGTGTTTGTTTTCATACATGTAGGTATAGTTAGCTAGCAGGTTATTTTCTCTTTGGGCTATTTTTATTTTATTTTTAAAGATTTTATTTTCATCTGAGACACAGAGATACAGAGAGAGAGAGAGAGAGCATGAGCAGGGAGAGAGGCAGAGGGAGAAGGAGAAGCAGGCTCCTGATGTGGGGCTCGATCCCAGGACCCCGGGATCACGACCCGAGCCAAAGGCAGACACTTAACCATCTGAGCCACCCAGGCGCCCCTCTTTGGGCTATTTTAGCTTGAAAGGGAAAAGGTGTAAAGTTCAGAAAGGTTGAAACTCTTAAAGTCTTTATTAAAAAATTTGTAAAAAAAACTTACAAAATATTTCAAAATATAAGGCAAAGAGAAATTTGAATTATTGACTAAAATGATTTTTTATTTCTCTAACCACCATATTCTCATTTTCAACTATATATGTACTCTAAAAAAGCCTAATACAACAATATATTTAGGACATTGTTATATGGGTGTGTACTATTGACCAAAATACATTATCTTTGTTTATTCTGATTGGGATTTGAAGATTTAGTACCTGTACCCCCAAAGTAAAGGTCTTAAAACTTAGAAGTAACACAAAGCACTTGGAAATATAACCCATTAAGGAAAAAATAATCCAAAGTTCTTTTACAAATCAAGTAATATCTCTACAATTATACTTCAGTGTGACATGATACTAAAATATTTAAATAATATAGTAATTCTGTCATTTCTTTTACTTGAGTTTAGACCCTCCCTTCTTCTCTACTGAAATTGAATCAGCTACAGGAATGGCAACTTCATAGAACTGGTTTATTGAAAATTCCTGAATTCATTGGAAGATTCCAGAACCTCCTTGTATTAGATTTATCTCGAAACACAATTTCAGAGATACCACAAGGAATTGGTAAGGAAGATTGCTTTTATTCCCGGGTTTTTTACTGAGAATTTTTTTGATACATGGAAAAATGACATCATCTTTACATAGCCCCGAGTCTTGAGAAAATTGTAGACATTTAAATTGAAGCTTCTAGAGGATCCAAGTTTCTGGGATTTACAGAACTGATTCAAGATAAGATTTCAAGGCAAGAAAAGTCTCTTGGGAAACATTGTATAGATTCTGGAAACAATGTATCTTGTTCAGTTAATCCTCCTAGAAGAGAACAGGTTGGGCAAGAGAACTTGCCTAGAAGGTAAGAAAGATAGAAAGATACCTTGGATGAGGAAAAAAATCCCTAAATGGAAAATTGGCCATAATATAGGAGATGAAACAAGATGAAAAAAAAAAAAACCCAAACAAACCATATTTTTTCTTAGAGCACTGATAAATCTCCTTATCTTTAGAAGGGGCAGGACACACACTGGGAAAAGGGAAGAACCTGGGAAGTGTGATTTGCCAATACGAAACTGGCAAGTAAGTTATGCTGTAAAGCTTAAATAACTGGAAACATTATTTTATATCCATCTGCTCTCTATCCTGTATTATTTTTTTGTAGGACTTCTCACTAAACTTCAGGAGCTGATTCTTAGTTACAACAAGATCAAGACTGTCCCCAGGGAACTAAGTCATTGTGCCAGGTTGGAGAAACTAGAACTTGCTGTAAACAGAGACATCTGTGATCTTCCACAAGAGGTCAGAAAGACATGTGTCTATGACTTATTGTCTACCTAATACTGGTTTACTTCTCAGCTGTGTGATTGCCAAAAATAACACTAACGAAGAAATGCTATAAATTTTATTTCAGAAAATATTTAGTGATTATCGTTTCCTATTATTTTAACACATATTTTTAATTAGAGAAATATCTACTTAACATAAACGATGCAGTACTGACATCATTTGTGATCTTAAAGGTCAGAGTAAGAGTCTTATTTATTTCTATCTCCAGAATTGAAGGCACAGCCTAAGTTGTAGTTGTTACTTAATAAATGCTTATTGAATAAATGATTATCACAAATCACAGACAATATGGTGATGGAAAAACTCTTTTGTTTACTAGTTGGTCTTTACAGAGTGATCAGTTTTTGAGATAGAGGTGAAGTGGTAAGAAATGAATTCTTCAGTTTCGGAAAAGTGTTTCTTTGCTAGTTTCTTAGGCTCGGCCGAATAAAAGAAAGCAATGGGTTTGCAAAGCCTTCAAATTTTGATCTGGTATGGTGACTTGTTATTAGTAAAACCAAGCTAATCATAGCGATAGAGACACTTTCAAACATATTTAATGATCTTACAATCAGCAAAGAAAATTTCCAAGGTACTGACTTTGCAAGATGAAAGTTAAGAAACATAATAAAACTCAAAACAAAATAGACTATTCCCTTCTCCCATTCTCCACTATTTTTGGTGAGAGTATCACTTTTTTTCCCACACCAGTAAATATGTCACCAATTATTGTTGCTCTTGCAAGTAAAACAAGTTTCTACATTTATATCTTTCTCATCTTTGAATAGTTCAACTTAATGAAATGTATGCACTTATTTATGAAAACGATGATCATAGGGACAATTTCTTTATAACTACAAGAGGTCCAATAAATATTTTATTTTGAACTTCTAATTCTTGTGATTTTCTTTCTAGGATTGGTTCCATCACTAAAAACGCTGTATGAATTTGGGCATGTCTATTAACCTGTGTTTTCCTTAACTTTTTCACATAAGAAATAGGTTTTACTGAAACAAATATTGAACTGAAATCTTGACCCTGGGATTATTTCCAAGTATGCCTTCTAAATTATCTGTGAAACCTTGAACTCACCACTTTACATAAAGAGGTCTCAATTTTCACATATGCAAAATAAAGACTATTATAATAATGTGAATATCTTTCAATATAAAATCAAAGGGTTCTAGTGTGACTCAGAAATCAGTAACAGGAAGAGACTTATGTCTCAGCCACTACATTGCACACACTGTATACACACAAACATATTTATGCCAACTGAAAACAATCTTTTTATATTCCATTCTAAACCATTTGAAAAATTTCAAAGTCTGATTTTGAAAAAGTGTTTTATTCATGGCTTGAATTCTAAAGCTTGGACAAAGATTACCTACTAAATGGAAACCTGCTTTTTTGCATTACCCAGAAAACACTGTATTTGTGTTTTTTTTTTTTTTTTGTGGTGTTAAAGATATGGAACAAGTCTTAACATTCCCTGAGATAATAAAACAGAACTTGCCTAGATAAAATAGAAAGCTTTTTGGAAAAGTTAACTAAATTCTCACATTTTGAAACTTTCACTACAGTGTTATATGGAAAGAGTTTAGAAATTTTGTGGCTTTAGGTCCATGAAAACTTGAGTGCCCATCACCCATCATTTCTAGTTACATGGTCTTTCTCAACCATTTTGTCTATAAAACAGAAATAAGATACTCATCTTGTTGATGAATAAACTAGAGTTGTAAGCATCAACATGAATACATTGAGGCACTGATATTAAGAGAAAAAAGCAAGTTAAGGGAAGTACAGTATCATAATCTTCAAATAAAAATACTAAATTTTGTTTATGAAAACATATAATAGTAATTACAGAGAAATATTTAAAAACATCTATTTATGTATAGTAATGAAAACAAGAAAACATGCACAGGAATAGTAAATACCAAATTCAGGAGAGGGGTTCCCTCTGGAAAGGAAGAAGGGAGGAACACATAGGAGGCAGTCATAGCAAAATATATATATATATATATATATATTTTTTTATTTTAAAGATTTATTTATTTGAAGGTGCCTGGGTGGCTCAGTTGGTTAAGCGACTGCCTTCAGCTCAGGTCATGATCCTGGAGTCCTGGGATCGAGTCCCACGTCGGGCTCCTTGCTCAGCAGGGAGTCTGCTTCTCTCTCTGACCCTCTTCCCTCTCGTGCTATCTCTCATTCTCTCTCTCTCTCTCAAATAAATAAAATCTTTAAAAAAAAAGATTTATTTATTTGAGAGAGTGAGTAGAGGAAGGGGCAGAGGGAGAGAATCCCAAGCAGACTCCCTGCTGAGTGCAGAGCCTGATGGCAGGGGTGGGGTGGGGTGGACATCTCACGACCCGTCAGATCACAACCTGAGCCAAAACCAAATCACTTAGCCGACTGAGCCACCCAGGCACCCCTGAATATATTTTCTTTCTTAAGCTGAGCACACTGGTGTTTGGGATATCATTCTCAATAAACTTTTATTGATGTTTTCATTGAGAAAATAGAATTACCAAACAGTAAATGCTATGACTGAGATAGCATATGTAAAGTATCAGACACAAAAAAGGTTCAATAAAGATAAGTATTATTTTGAAGTTTGGGTTTTCCCATATAAATCTCAAATGCAGGATGAAAGGAAAATACAAGCAAACACAAGCAGGTTCTATAAGTGCTGGAACTTGGGTATTTGGAAGATTAATTTTCTTTGAATAGATGAGCTTTCTATAAGAGTTTTTCATTTCTCTGGAGGTTATTTAGCTTTATTTTTATTTCAAAGTTATTGTGGACGATGAGGACTAAAAAAAAACCCAAGCATAAGGTGAACAGTCTTTGAAGTGAAAAAGCACTACTAATGTGAGTGTTCTAGTAGTTTACATCGTGGACATTCATTTTGAAAAACCTTGCTTGCCTTTTCAGCTCAGCAATTTGTTAAAGCTTACGCACCTTGATTTGAGTATGAACAACTTTACTACAATCCCTCCAGCTGTGTTGAACATGCCTGCTCTTGAATGGCTCGACATGGGGAGCAACAGACTTGCACAACTTCCTGATACCATAGAAAGGTAAATATATAATATTCTGTGCTATTAACAGATGTGTTGAAGCCATCCATAATAAATAACAAAACAAAGGGGACCCCAAGCGTAATCAATCAGAAGAGACCCATGCAGTACTAAATATGCTACTTTTTAACAATATTTTCATTTACTTAAGTATAAGGGCTTTGGGAGAGAAAAACTGGCTCTGACTTCAACATGTTGACACAAATATGCCACACAGTAACAACATTACATTGTGCATGCCAGGCCCTCTGCGGGCTTTACAAATGGATGAAAACTAATGTAGAGATGTAAATTGCTCAAGATCACAGTATAAGTGTGAACCTAGGCAGCCTGGCCCACAGTCCATGCTGTTAACCATTATGCATACTTGTCTTACCCAAACAGGCATATTCATAATTTCTGATTTTTCTCTTAACACTCTAGTTCAGACTAGATAACATTTATAGCTGTTCTTTAAGAAATCCTATGAGAATAGTGAAGAATTCTAAAATATGTTGGTTTCCTTTCTACTACCACATGCTGAGAAGTGTACTGTAGGGATTAACCCTCCAATGCAGTTTCCCTAATGATCAGGTAACATGAAGTCAGTTAACTCGACTGGTACACTAGTTAAAGGAGATGTTATGAAAGATGACATTTGTTTCATTTTAGGTTAATAAGAACCAGGGTTTTCATATTATGTATGATTAATCGCAGAAACCTCTTTTAATTCATCAGAATGCAGAGTCTACATACATTATGGCTGCAACGGAATGAAATAACATGCTTGCCAGAAACAATCAGCAGTATGAAAAATCTGGGTACTCTTGTTCTCAGCAACAATAAACTGCAAGATATTCCAGCGTGCATGGAAGAGATGACTAATCTGAGGTAAAAGTTGTAGACACAAAACTGACATGTTCCTTTCTGGCTGCAGAACAAGGTAATATAGAGAAATTGTTATTAATGGATTTGAGTTCTCATTCATATGAATGAATATATTTAAAACTTTTTCCAACTTTGCAATTCTATAATTTATAAGTAGGATTCACATAATACTGGCCAAAATTATTCAAGAAAGAATTCTTGAAACAAAAGCCATACTGGGCCTATGGGCTTTCAGGAATGCCCTCAGTTCGTGACATTTTTATGAAAACCGTCTTTGGAACTGCTAACAAATCTCATCTACAAATAAAAACCAAAGGCATAAAAATAGTGCTTATTTTCCTTCTAAATGACCACAGTGGACACAGGCAATTATGTTACAGATAGAATAAATACAACTTTTTACTAAGTTAATTACTCTCAGAACTCCCTCAAGTATCTTCCTTCCAAAATTTAATTTCCTGACAGAGAACGTTTAAGAGAATTCACATCAAATCCCACAACTTCCATAACAAAATCATTCATTCACCTATTCAGCAACTGCTGAGTCCTGTACTCAATGAAGATACAGTGATGTATAAGACACAAGTCTATAAAATATGCAGAAACTTCACCATATTAAATACATACTAGGGATTAATAGTTGCTTCTATAAGCTTTGAAAATGAGTTGTCTAAAGCTAGTGTTTTTTTTCTTCTGGAAAAGAAACTTAAAAGATTCTTAGGATTTATCACATTTCACCAAAATGTTATTGAAACCAGTTTAAAAAAAAGTAATTTAGTGTATTATCATTTGATTTTACCTCAGAGAAATAAATGTACACTTCTATGGCATCTATAAAAATACTGTTTTTTGGTGAACTGCTAGGTTTGTCAACTTCAGAGACAACCCATTGAAATTGGAAGTAACACTTCCTCCCAGTGAAAGCATAGATGAAGAAGAGGAACGGGAATTATTTGGCCTTCAGTTTATGCACGCATATATACAGGAGTCCCGGAGAAGAGCAGGTATGGCATTTTTATATTAACACATGTCAAATATTTGGTAGAGGAATGTGTGTGTGTGTGTGTGTGTATATATATATATATATATATATTCCTTTATAGATTTCTCATTCCATCTTATCTTTTCTGTCAAATTTTGTCTTTTGGTCAATATTGTTGGAGGAAAAAAGAGTGAAATTCTAATCTGTTCACAATTTTGATAAAGACTTGGAGAGAATTTGTAAAGATATTGAATGTTTTTCAAGTGGTGGCAGGAAATAAATTTCTTTGGCCAAGTACCTGAAGCACAACCAAGTGAAGGAAGATGTGATTTTTTTTTTTAAGATTTCATTTATTCATTTGAGAGAGAGCGAGCACAAGCTGGGGGCTGTGGGGGGGGGGAGAGGGAAAGGGAGAAGCAGACTCCCCGCTGAGCAGGGAGCCTGACGTGGGGCTCAATCACAAGACCTTGAGATCATGACCTGAGCCGAAGGCAGACACTTAACAATCTGAGCCACCCAGGTGCCCCTGAAGATGTGATTCTTAAAGCTTCACTACCTCATTCTATCAGTCTGTCATATATTTCAGTGTACTCATGAACATTACCTTCCCTGTCATTTCCTCTTTTTCTATAATCCACAAATAGCAACACAGTATTTTGCCTAGGAATGAAAAATATTGAGAACACAGATTTTTAACCAATAGTTAAAATGTGAGGTTTTGATATATAGATTTCAATCACTCAGTCTCTGCTAATTAAGAATTAAACCACTTTTTCACTAAAGGAAAGCCTTTAACTTAAACCAAGATTATAAGAGGCCAAAGAGACAATTCTATTAAGAAAAACAATGAAACAGGGCGCCTGGGTGGTTCAGATGGTTAAGCGTCTGCCTTCGGCTCAGATTATGATCCCAGGGTCCTGGGATCGAGTCCCACATCGGGCTCCCTGCTCAGCTGGGAGCCTGTTTCTCCCTCTCCCTCTGCTGCTCCTCCTGCTCATGCTCTCTCTCATAAAGTCTTAAAAAAAATAAAAAGTTAATTTCACTTTAATATTAAAAAAAACAATGAAACAATAGTACAGTAATAGAAATCATTTTATAATGCACTAAACATGAAGAGTTTTTGAATCAAAAGGTCAGATTTAATTTATCTTCTAAGATAGCTGCTTTGGAGAATGAGTATAATCTAAGCAAACAAATGAAAGTGTTTTAGCTAGAAGTCATTTTTACCAACATCCAGTGGCAGATATTAGGAAATGGTCATCTAATCTGTGGTAGCAAGTCACAGAAACAATAGCATGGAAAATAGATTGGGAGGACGACAAGTAAAGTTAGTTTGGGGCCTAGTTTGGGGTAATAAATACATAAAAAACAGGTAGTAGATAGAATTGGTGATTGAATGATGGGAAATGAGAGGACTGCAAGATTAATCTGTTTTTGGTTAGAGCAACCAGATGGATGGTGATGCTGAGATGAGGTGGTAGAAGTGGAAGATGAGGAAATTTGACATAGTTGTGGGACATGTGGGAACAGGTAGTTGTGTAGGTGAATTTGAAAGTTCAAGAAGGGGTTTGCTGGCCCTGTAAATCTGGCAGGTCAAGGAAGAGCAATATACATATCTCACATAGTTGCTTTCTTATGATATCTTTAGGGAAGTAAACAAGGTTGGGGAAAACAAGAATCTTGACCTATAGCTTGTTGAAGGATAAGCTTATCCGCCCATAAAATACTTGGTACCATTGTCAGAAACATCATGAAGCTAAATGGGCACAGGATTATTACCAGTGTAACTACTGAGTGTATGTGTATGTTTTGTGAAACATAGTTGAGATTATGCCTGTTGTAGAATATTTTTTATTCCTGGGCATAAATTGTTGAATGATGCAAAATAGATTGTATGACACCAATTAGCATTGCCTGACCCAGTAAAATCATGGAAATTATTGAATGATGTATATTACCCTTTATTTATGTTCTCTTGATTGGGCAGCCTGAGTAATTAACTTTAGAAATAATCAAACTACCTTACTTTAATAATATTTGACATGGAACTTATAAAGAGAAAAAAGGTTACAACTTAAGCAGAGATAATTAAACCAAGTTTGCCTATTGTCATTAAAAATAGATTTGTGAATTAGTATTATTAACGTATTTATTGAGTACTTACACTGTGCTTGGATCTGTTTTAAGCATTTTACATGTGTTATCTCATTTGTTACAAAACCTTGTGAGGTAGGTAGTATTATTATTATCTTCACCATCCTCATTTTAAAAAGGGAAATTGAGGCACAAAGAGATTAAGTAGTGGCCCAAGGTCATACACTGAGGTGGTAGGGTAGGATCTGAACCTACGCAGTCTCATAAAACATAGGAGATTAAAGTAGAAAAGCAGGAATTAAAAATGGGCTAGGCTTCTATTTTATAATTCATGTACTCATAGATCTATTTATAGGATAAAAAAGTTACCTAAGAATATCATTATAGTACCTAAAATTATTAATTCTGATCTTTGTCTTGGCAAAGGTACCAATGATTAAGACAATTTTTACAAATAAAGACAGAAATAAATGAAGGATAACATGAAGACAGTAACAGTCCTTACCATATGTTTGGATTAATATTTGCTTGTGCATAGAAACTGCTTATGAGTTAACTAAGGCCTAAGTGTGAGGTGGTTTTGGTTTCATTATCTAATTTCCATTTTATTCCAAATTATTTTCTCAAACAGGAGAGAATATACTTATAGTTGTGCTTATATGTACAAAATGTCCTTTTAAAAGATACAATACCTAATTAACTTCAGAAGTTATTTGCAAATTTCAATTTAATTTGTGAATGAGGCTTATAAGTTATCTTTTTGGAAGTTCTAACTAGATAATTATTCATTTAAAAAAATGAAGTGAGGGGCGCCTGGGTGGCTCAGTTGGTTAAGCGACTGCCTTCGGCTCAGGTCATGATCCTGGAGTCCCGGGATTGAGTCCTGCATCGGGCTTCCTGCTCAGCGGGGAGTCTGCTTCTCCCTCTGACCCTCTTCCCTCTCGTGCTTTCTATCTCTCATTCTCTCTCTCTCTCAAATAAATAAATAAAATCTTTAAAAAAATGAAGTGAAACAGTTCATTTCCCTTGAAAACTATCTCTTCACTTTTGCTGTTTGTCATGGATAAATTCAGAAATACATAAATATATGTATGGCTCTGGAAATCTGAAAGTGAATTCATTAATTGATTATGAACATCTCTGAATTTCTTTGCATTAGGAAAAACAAATCACAATACATTATCCTTTCCAAATTGGAATGGACAAAAAAAATCCATATATAAGCCAAGTTCTCAGACTTGCTTTTGTTACAAACGGACAATTGATCATACATCTTGAACTTGAGAAGTAAAAAGTACTAAATAAAACCAAAGGAAAATAAATTTCCAAAATTAATACAAAAGCTAATGTGCTAGTTGTGTATTGTGTTATGTGTGTTTCAGATAACCAAGTCAACTGTTCAGCTACTTTACCAATCTCTATAAATACTGATGGATAATATAACTCAAGATGCCCTGCTGAAGAGAATTACTTGGAGAATTTGGTGAATTTGCTAACATTTGGACTTCTAAGTAAAAAACAAAGCTATAACTAAAGTTCAATGAGGCCACAACATTTTTTAAAGTTCATATCTCTGCTACGTAAAGTATATTTCATGAATATAAAAATACAATTAAAAAAATTTTTTTTGGTGGAAGACAGATGTTCACAATTTCTTTTCCATTAAGCAGTTGTTTCTGGTGATGACGAATGATTTGGTAAAGCAGTTAACAATACATTTTCCAAAGATACCAGAGGATCTGTATAATACTGTAAAGCAGGACTGAATCCTTTCTGCTGTAAATACTCGACTCGGCCTTGGTCAATCAGCAATTTACAAAGATGCCCTATTTTCTTCTTTTCTTCAACAGTAAGGAACCTAAACCGAATATACACAAAACATCGTTAAAATTTGTAAAAGTTTACGAAAAATCATTTTAGTCACTTCTATTTATTGATAAGTTCCTAAGTAACCTGCAGTATACTAGGTGCTATGTCCCATGCTTCCAAGATATGTTTTATTTTTGCCACAATAAAAGTATATTTCAATGTATTCTAAAATTGGATGGTAAAATGCATGTTCATGGACAGATTTTTGGGGACATTTATCTAAAAAGAAAGTCCAGCAATAACAAAACATTTCTGCCCCAGTGTCGTGGATTTCCAAGTAGTCACTTACCCAGGGACTCTCTCGGTGCTTTCGTCTGTGATTATGCATCCCCCGTCATCATGCTCTTCACTGTCATCATTCTGCTTATCTTTTCTCTTTGTGGTAAGATTGGAGGCTTCCAAAGATGTTTTTCGCATCCCACAAGTCGCCCAACTACTCATTCGCTGGAAGTAGTGGAATTCCACTGCTCCAAGGCCTAGAGCCCTGAAATACTCTTTGCCCACATAATGTCTCCAATCACACCTGTGGTGACAACAGAGTGCAATAACAATGCCAGCCACAGGGCTCCACTTCTCTGGGACATTTTTCTCATTTCCTTCCTTGGCCAAAGTGTTAATTTCTTTTTCTGTTTTATCATTCTTTATGCGTTTGGCTAAAGGTTCTTCATTCCTTTCCTCACAACTGGCAGCATAGGTTTCAACCAAACATCGTAATGCAAGATCTGCAAACACAATTATGTGGCCCCCCCAAACCACATCATCTTTAAAAATAAGTATTTTTTTTACATTTTTTCAGCAGTATGGTTTCTAAAATCCCAACAACAAAAACCTGCTTAGCTTTATACTTGTAATAATTCTTCCATGAATTATCAATTTTGTTCATATTTGCTGTTTTCTCATTAGCATCTCATTTTCTCTAATGATTTATTCTACTTCCCCAAACAACTGGCTGAAGCTTAAGGTCTACAGTATGTAAAAACTTTAGTCCAATTACTCAACTTGGCTCTAGCTACTCCTACTCTAGCTGAGGAAAGGGCTTGTATAGAAAAAAATCATTGATTTACACTTACATCCCAGGGAAGTTTTGAGTTTAAGAAACCCAAAGAAAGAATAGAGGGGAAAGGCATCTGCTTATCGTCTGCTTAGATTGTTAGGTGTCAGTCCTGAAACATATGATGTTCACAGCAAATCCTGATGAGCTGAAGAGTTGATAAGAGGGAGTCATTCTGTGGAAAGTAGGCCTCACTGAGCAGGCTTACAGTATTTATGCATTCATTCAGCAATTAGTTACTGAATGCCTTTCACGTGGAAGCTTTGCAAATGTAACGATGACTATACACATAAACTTCGAGGTGGATGTACTCCACATTAAAAAGAAAAATTTAAACTTAAAAGCTAAACAAGTAGATTTTTTGATAACTGATTATTTCCCAGTGAAGACTGCTCTATGGTTGACAATATTTGTAAGGCCCCAAATATATACTGTAAAAACGGTATTTCCTGTCTGATTAGACCAGCATGCTGTGCCTAGTCAATCAAAAACATATATATTTTAAAATTTTATTACCCTAAGATGTCACCAGTGACTATTAAATGACTTAATATTTCACTAGTAAATTTAATTCAATATATGAGTTGAAGTCAATAAACACTGGGAGAAAGGGATAGCTAATCTATTATTTCATAAGCTATTGTTTTCTGACAAAATATATTCAGTCTTATTTATATTTGACTTAAGTAAATGATTTTCAGAAACGTGAATAACCAGAAAAATCATTAAAAGAATGAAGTAACTTTAGAATCAGAAGGAGCTTTAACAATCTATTTTAACCACTCCTTTACAAAGAACTTAAAGGACAACGTGACATACCAAAGAAAGGGACCAGGAAACACAGCCAGTTGGTGATCATTCATTCATTCACTCAAATGCTTACTGTTTCTATTATATGCACACTCCCCTGTGCTCAACAAATTCACAGCAAAGTGGGAGAATTAGAATTATATAATAAAAAAATAATTAAAATACCGTAAGGTAAAGCGATGCGGATGGAATTATGATGAACACTAAGAAAATTAGAAACTGACAGAGTATAGTACATGGGAAGAGTACACAGGGGTTCAGTTTGCTGACCAAAAGAGCTGCAGGCAGGAAGTGGCAAAGGCTGGAAGGCACAGGCCAGACTGACAGCCGGTCCTCCTGGTAAAGAGCTTGGACTTTACGCTGTAAGTAATTAGGAACTACTGCAAAGTTTTAAAGGGAAAGACATATTAGGTGTGTAGCCAAGGGGTCTAAATATTAGTAATTAAAGAACAGGTAGTGGAAGGAGACCATGAGAGAAAGAAGGGCATAGATGTAGGAGAAGAACCCGGAAAGAAAATGTCACAATAGAGAAGGAAACTGAATTTCAAGAAGGGCAAGCAACTGGAGTGCCTGGCTGGCTCAAGCTGAAGAGCGTGCAACTCGGGGTCCTGAGTTCAAGCCCCACTTTGGGTGTACAGGTTACTTAATTTAAAAAAAAAGACAAAAAAAAAAGGGGGGCAAGCAACTGTAGCAGAGATTTTTCGGTAAGATCACAATAGAGTGATGAAGGGAGAATTCACATAGTGAATCAAGAGGGGAAAGTGTGTGGAACAATGAAAAATGGCCAATATAGATTATACTTCTGAGAAACTTGGGTCAGATAGGTAAGAGTAAATGAGTGTGCTTTTTTCCCCTCCCCAGGACAGAACTGGCTTATGCCAGAAGGCTCTTATGAGGGTCAAATAAAGTGCATGAATGTCATCTTAAAAACTATGAAGGACAACATAAATATACAATACTCAAAGCCATTTCCCAGCCAAACTGAATAATGTCTATGGAGGCTCCGAGTTCCCTGTATGGGAGATGATGAAACCAATAGGAGCCAGGAAGATGTAACAATAGTTAACATTCACTGTGCACTAATATGTGCCAGACACTTACATGTAACCTGGTAAATTATATGTTATCCCTGTTTTACAGATGAAATAACCAAAGCTCAGAAAGGTTAAGTAATTTGCCAAGGTTACACAGCACAGCTGAATTCCGGACTATCCAATTTCAAAGCCCATGCTCTTTCTACCTTACCACACTACACCTGACAGATGGATGTGCTAAGATAAGACATCTTAGGTTTTTTTTTTTAAAGATTTATTTATTTATTTGACAGAGAGAGACACAGCTAGAGAGGGAACACAAGTAGGGGGAGTGGGAGAGGGAGAAGCAGGCTTTCCGCCGAGCAGGGAGCCCGATGTGGGGCTTGATCCCAGGACCCCGGGATCATGACCTGAGCCGAAGGCAGACACCCAACGACTGAGCCACCCAGGTGCCCCCATCTTAGGTTTTTTTATCTGACATTTCTTTTTTCATTTTCCTCAGAATCCTGGTACATAATCATCTTCTAGTGGGAGAGGTTTCAGAGTCCTTCCCATGCAACTTCTTGAAAAAATCAGTAGCTTCTGGGGTAAAATCATAGTTTCCATAAAGGATTTGTTTCCTTTTTGGTTGAAATATAACCCAAAAGTTTTTAGTCTCGTATGACTCAGTATTTACACATAACACTTTATTTTTTTTAAGATTTTATCTATTTACTTGAGAGAGAGAGCACGAGAGGGGGGAGGGTCAGAGGGAGCAGCAGACTCCCTGCTGAGCAGGGAGCCCAATGTGGGACTCAATCCTGGGACTCTAGGATCATGACCTGAGCCAAAGGCAGTCGCTTAACCAACTGAGCCACCCAGGCGCCCCTACACATAACACTCTTAATTCATCCTGCAAAATGGCCAAAATAAGCAGATAAATAAAAAACTATATATCTGATCTAACACAGGGCCAGTGCTATGATGAAGATTAATCAGTTGTAAGCATAGATGACATAAACTACTCAAGAGACTATTTCAAAGATTGGGACCATGTTAAGCTAAAACTCAATGTGTTCATCTAGACATTATTAGTATGTTTACGTACCTGTTGCCACACCACACAGATGCTTTCCAATTCCTACCACAGGTAGTTTTTCTTTGCTTAGCAAAGGAATCTTATCTGAAATAAAAGGAAATGAGAACCGAGTAAGCTCTCCTGTGAGATAAGACATTAACAAAAAGACAGAACTAATTTAAATCTTTGAATTTAAGGGCCGAGAGAGACTAAAACAAAAACTTCTCACTTTATAGCTGCGGAGTAAGAGACTCACAGATATAGTGACCTGATAAGCAACACAGAGGGCTGCTGACCAACCAGAATTAAAATTAAAGTTTCTTTCTTTTCTTCCCTTTTCTTTCCCTCTCACCCCTAGGCGGGCCTCTCTTTCTGAGTTAAAGTTTCTTGACTCTTAGGCCAATGTTATTTCTTCTATTCTGACTCAGGACTTCCCCCTGTATAAGCCTTATTCTACTAAATATTATTAACTCATTGATAAAAGAACTCAAAGCTGTCCCTGCTAGAAGATTTATTTTGAACAAATAATACATATGATAAACATATATTAATAACAATCAATATATATTATAAAATACTATATTCAGTATTACAATTAACTATAGTTTTTTTCTGTATCTTGATATTTAAAAATAAGATATTATCTTAGCTTTTCACAATGTTTTAAAAAAAGAAGATTCATAACAGTCCTGAAAAGGTAAAAAAAAAAAAGAAAAAAAAAGGTCCACAAGGTAATGCAGTAAGATGTATTATATCATAGTTATGGCCTCCATCCCATCCTTATTTTCTTTTTTGTAAG